CTTAGTCTTAAAAGCTCATTAATTCTTCAGCTGTGTTTAATCTGCTGTTTAACCTATCCGTTGAGCTTTTGATAGCAAAAGTGTTATCTTTTTATTGTTACACTTTTGCCTGGTGATTTTTCACATCTGCCAGGGTCTTTTTTTGGGGGGAGGGTACAAATCTTATACCTTACTTTTTTTTCTCTCCTTAAACGTTTTAAGCATCAATTAGTTCATATTTGTAAGCCAGAATTTCATTATTTGAAAAATCTCAGGGGCCTGATTCTCTTGTCTTTCTTCTCTGTTGCCTTTCTTCACAGTGCCTGGGTTGTTTAGTAATTTGGAATTCTAAGCTCAAGGTTGTCTGGGTTCTCTCTAGGGGTTGAGGAGAATTCTTCCAAAAAAGGATTTATCATTGTCTCTTCCAGGTGTCTTTGGGTCCTACCAACCCAGGGCCACCAGAAATTGAGGTAATTTCTCCCCACGGGGTTAATTAGACCAAACTTGCCGTGAAAGTGGAATCCAGACCTGTGAGGAGCAAACCTATGGTTGTCCATTCTCAAGGAAGAATTTTTTTCTTCCCACAGAGCACAGCAGCCAGATTTTCCCCCCCTTAGTTCATCCTTTTCACCCACAAGGATCTGTCTCTCAAAGATCCTGGTTTTAAGAGGCACCTCAGTTCCAACCCCTCAACTTGAACATGCCCAAGGCTCTGACTTCTGTCTGCGTTGTATCCATGAGACTCACATCTCTGGGTTCTGGAAACCAGCAGTCATCTTGGGCAGCTGCTGCCTTGGCATCAGCTTTCTAGCTTTCTCTTTGTTTTCAGCCTTGGGGGACTTCCCTTATTTTCTTGTGAGTGCCGTTATATATTTAAAAGGTGTTACATTGTCCCCAGCAATCTCAGTATTTTATTGTGCTGGCATTTTGCGAGAAATCCAGACTTTTCCCATGCATATATAATACTCCATTTTCTGTTTATAATCTGCATCTTTCGTGTAGTACTGGATCATAGACTTCATGATAATAATACATGAATATTATATAGTCATGAGATATACCATGTTTAAGTATACCTTAATTTTGGATATTATTGCTTTTGTAAATTAGAATAAAACCAAATTAGCTTTTTTTTTTTTTAATGGAGAGAGACACATAAGGCAGGACAGAACAGTGGAAAGAACATATTCTCTAGTGTCAGACATGCCTGGATGAGGTTCTAATTCTTGGACTTTTTAGCTTTTCTGAGCCTCAGTTTCATCATCTGTAAAATGGGGCTAATAATATGCATCTGGAGCTGTTTCAGAGGATGACAACAAATGCATGTAAAGTGCCAGGGACATTATGAAATAAATGGGAATTTTTACAAATATTAATTGTACTTTTCATCCAGTATTGTATTTGTGACAGTAATCTAGCCTTGGAACCTGTCCAGAGGAGGCAGCAATGACTTCAGCTTGGAGGTTCTGTTTGGGAAGGAAGGCTCTGAAGAACTGGCTTGTAAGCTGGTTATTGGTAGGGTAGAGGAGAGCGCATGGGGAGGTTAGTGGATGTTGGAAAGAAGACAGGGAAGAGGGGAGCGTGGAGAGTGGTGTGATGAGTTTGCTCCCCTCTCCTGAGGTGTCTGTCCTGGCAACTTTCAGGAATTTTTAACATTGGTTCCTTGTCATCGTTTGCACCAGTCTGTTACATGCATGTAATTCACCACAGTCCTAAGAGACCCGCCACGGGGCCAGGGGGATGTTCCTACTTGGTTGACCTGAGTTTATTGGTCCCAGCTATGACAGCGACTAATTCTAAGCTCAAAAGTGAACTCAACTGCAGTGAGATGGAAGGGGAAATATATGAGTCATACATTTCCTCCTATTCTCCGCAGGATAGTTCTGGACAAACCTTACCAAAAAACAAGGCCGTTAAGAAGTAAATATCAGAACTGTTGGATTCTGGCTGTCATACAGGATTTCTTTCTTTTCTTTTCTTTTTTTTCCATGCACTTAACTCCAGCTGAGATGAAAGCTGTCAGCTAGCTTTGAAAAGTAATTTGTTGCAGAGAACCATGGTAATTCTCCTTGAGATAGGGATTACTGAATTTCAAAATTGCAATTTAAAATGTGAATACATCCTTTTTTTTTTTTTCCCAGTGGCTTGTTTGCTAGGTCTTTCCCTCACTTTGGTCCTTTCACTGGAATGATGGTAATTAATTGTGTTCTTTCTCTTAACAAGTTGTTTGTGCTTACACTACATGCTTTCATAACTCAGTGGGGATTCAGCATATTGACTGAATTTGGGTGGAACTGTTACTTCTAAGGTGAAGTATAAATGTCGACTCTTTCTCTCAATGGTGGTATATGTGTAGACCTTCCTTGGAGTAGAGACATAGCCCAGTAGCAGTTCTAACTAGCTGCCCAGGGCAGCCCAGGTATTTTCTCATAGCTAGGGTTGCCTGACAAAATATAGTAAAATATGTCCTAAATATTGCATCATAAAATTTGTTATTTGTCTGAAATTCACATTTGATTGGGACTCTTTCTTTGCTAAATCTGGCTGCCCTGCTCATGCCCCGTCCTGCTCAGTGTTATGCGCCCAGAGTCCCTTCCTGTTTGTGACCTCATGTGGGCTCTCCATCCCTCTAGTGTCATCTCCTGAGCCTTTGATGCTCAGTAGATCTAAGCCTCCAGACCAAGCACAGTGACAAGAATATTCAGTTTATTTATTTACGTGCAAAATATTGAAGACGTTCACATGATTCAAGAGGCACAGAAATCTACTTGTTGAAAAAAGTCTCTATTCTTGCTGTCTCCGTGATCCTTAGCTATTAACGTATGATCTTGTGTATTCTTCTAGAGTTCGTTAATGCGTTTTCAAGCAAATCCATATTTCTGTTTTTCCTCGTTCCAGTCTCTTTTCCCACAAATGGTGAATAGCACTTACACTATTCTGCATATTGCTTTTGTCACCTAACAGTTGGTCTTGGTAGATACCAGCACAGGAACAGCTTCGTCTTCTTCACAGATGCAGGGGACTTTATGGTATAGGCAGCCTTTAACTTATTTAACCACTTCCTTGCTGACGAGAGTTTGGTTGTTCCCAGTTTGTTTGTTAGTACCAATACTGCACCCCGGAATAAACTAGCGTGGGTGTGATTTCATGAATGCTTACAGATACAGTAGAATAAATTCCTAGAAGTGGAACAGCTGAAATGTACGCTAGTACCATGTTGTCCTCCGTAGAGACTCGTGTCAGTTAGGAGCGAGAATACCTGAGTAACCATACTCTCACCAACACGGGGAAGTCTAAACGTTTTATTGTGTATGACCATCTCATCGGTGAGAAAATGGTATCTCTTAGTTTTAACTTGTGTTCCTCTTTTTATGGGTGAATTTGAGCATCCTTTGAGGTATTTAAAATGCACTTATGTTTCCTTTTCTATGTTTTGTCTGCTGATGGACTTTTTCTATTGGATGGTTATTGACTGGAGGGCACTCCTATGGATTAGGGAAATTATCCTTTGTGATATGAGTTGCAAATATTTTCCCCACTTAGTTGTTTGTTGACACTTTGACTTTACGTATGGCAGTGCTTCCATGAAAATTTCTATTTATCCGTATTTTTAGTTATTGCATACAACTTATTCATATTTTCTATTATGATTTCTGAGTTCGTACCATGCCTAGGCCTTCCCCATTCAGAGATTACAAATATATTCTCCTGTAGTTTCTTTTCTTTAAAAAAAAAAAGCAGCTTTAAGATAATAGTTCACATATCATACAATTCACACATTTAAATAGTAGAATTCAATAGCTATTTTCTTTAAGTTCTTTTTTTTTTTTTTAAATGGAGGTACTGGGGATTGAACCCAGGCCCCCGTGCATGCTAAGCATGTGCTCTACCACTTGCTTTCTGAACAGACTTCCAGTGGATGGTTTGCCTGAGATATCGTTGTCATGGAGGGGAAAATTTCTCCCTTCCCCTCTTGGTCCTTTTGACTCGTCAAATAATTAAAATGGCATAAGGCAAATTAACAGGAGAAAATCACATTTAATTATACATGTACAGAAAATCCATATAATGTGAGAGATTCCAGGTAAAATGAGAGTCAGGTATAATGAGGTATATATATCATCCTGGACTAAGGAGGAGGGGGTAGGGATCTGGGACTTCAAAGGGAAGAAAGGCAATTCGTAGGAAGATGAAAAAGAGCAAAGATTTGGTAAACAAATGTTTGCTGTGTCATACAGAGACAGTAGGATACAGAGAGGAATTTTAACAAACAGGCTTTGCTGGATCTCTCCCTGTCTACCACAGCTAGTTCATATTATACTGTATTTACCTATGGAGATAGCTCCCTTCCTGGAACAGGTCCTTTATCTAAATCCTTTTAGACAGTTAGGGTGAAGGTTAAAGGTTCTTCCTGAGTCCTTTGGACCTTGATTGTTTTCAGATTGAAATAATCCACATGCCATACTGGCACATCTTGGAGTGTCCTGCCCTGACGTGGCCCTAGGGTATTAACAAGGCAGGCTTCCCATTGCCACGAATGCATGATAGAAATAACTGTGTGTGTTTCTCTATTTACCTGTTCTTTTCTTCCTTCCTGTCTCTTTCCTGTTTTTCCTTTGAAGTTCTTGAGGCCAAAACTGGCTCCAAAGAAACATCAAAGGAAGCCTGCACCAAAGGCCTCTCAGGGCCATCTTAGAAGCCGTGTGAGAGGCCGAATGGCGCCCCCTGCAGCTGTGCTCTCTTTGTTGCTGCTGCTGCTGCTCTTTACAGGTAGGAAACGGTCACCCTGGAGATGCCAGTGTTACACTTGGGCTTCCTGTCTTTGGCGTAAGGCACTCAAATCAACCCGAGAAGACGAAGGTGCTGTGTGTTGCTTTCTAATAGACTCATCTCACGTATGAAAGGCAGACCTCATGCATCAGTGGTTTCTGGAAACAGGCATTTAAATTTTTTATCAAGACTATTTTGGGGAAAATAAATCCTATTTCATATATATTAGGAAAACTTCATGTACTTATTTAAACTTTATTTTTTGTTTTGTTTTGTTTTTTTAGGGGGTGGTAATTAGGTTTATTTAATTTGTTTATTTTTTACCAGAGATACTGGGGATTGAACCCAGGACCTTGTGCATGCTAAGCACACGCTCTACCACTGAGCTATACCCTCCCCTATACATTTGTTTAGAATTATATAGTAGATCTTTTTGGAAAGCAAATGACAGACCCATTTGTATCATAAATCTTTATTTTCATATAGTCTGTTTGCTTATTGTGGACACACCCATGGCATAAAATCATTGGTAAGCATCAATTCTGGGGACATGCCCCAGCTGGGCCAGCCAAGCCAACTAAGCCCCTTTGAACTTAGCAGACTGAAGGCGGAGATATGGCCAGGGAAATGGTTTTATATCCAAGGTTTGCCCAAGTGTGGTAAAACCATGATGAGGCTTACCTGAGAATGACCCTTGTTAAAACCTTGTGGTTTCCGAGGTCCCGTCCAGACCTCCTGAATCAGAACTTCTAGTGAGTGTGACTCAGGGATTGCAAGCATCTAAATTTTTTGTTGGCTTGTTTTATGGAAAACTTATTTCCATGTTCCACTGTGAGAGAGACATGCTCTATATGAAAGAGATTTTAATATGCATCTAAATTTTTATAAACACAGTTTTAGATTCTAAAAGGGCCACTTCAGCAAATGCTACCATTGGGAAAGGCCTAACATCCCCATCCCTTGTAGATCACTCTCCCATCCATCCATCTTATTAACTCATCACTGCTCAGTATGCAAAACAAAATGTTCCTTTATTCCATGCTTAGTGTACTCTGTACTTTGGAAAATACTATCTTTAATGTTTTGAGCACTCTTTTTTTTCTCTCTTAAATCCCCACTTTTTCACTGCTTTTGGTTTCTTTCCTGTGAGATGTTTTTCATCAATTCAAAATTCCTCAATTACTGAGCCCCAGTAATGTTATTTAGAGTTTGCCTGTCTTTTCCGTCTACCCTCTTTACCTTTGGCAAGATGTTAACCATTGACATTCTTGATTTGTCAACAATCGTGGGGTGCCTACTATGTTCATGAATTGGGCTGGGAATTTGTAGAGGGGACAAATGTGTGTGTTCTCCGGTCTCTGTTCTCTGGTCTCTTTAAGAATTTTCTTGAGTGAGTCCAAAAGATTCTAAAGTAATTATGGCAACTTGGCCCAAAGGAAGAATGGTTATATGTTGCGAATTCCACCTTCTCAAATTCCTTTATTTAGCATTCAGATCTCTGCTTAAAGTATGTATATCTAAACGGCCTATTCAGGTGATTTTTTTTTGCAGAACAAAGGGATGATCTGGCCCAGAGCTATATATGGAGGTCTCCACCTCCAGCCTGATGGAAAACTGCTTTAAGCTTTGTCTGGAAGGCTCTTGCCATGTCTCTCACCCACGTGTAACAATTTGTTCCAGGATCACAGCCTTTTCCCTGAATAATGGTTTCTGTGACACAGTTTTACAAGTTGGCTTTTAAGCTTCTGGTGGCCAAAGCCAGATATGAAACATGATAGTTTTTATGAATTGTACTGTCCAAAAGGAGATGAGCCAACAGTTGTTCAAGGGAAATAAAATATATCCTGCCGTTTGTGTTTAGAAGAACCATCTAGCTTGGATCTTCATTTAAAGGCCACTCAGGATGTTAGTGGTAACTACAAATAAAGACAATATTTTTGAGAGTAGAGTTGTGAGTCAGAGATACCTAGTTTACATACCCCATCATCTCTTGACTTTAATTGAAAATGCTGTTTTGTTGTGTTCAGAGTTTTCTTTTGTTTTATTTTTCCTCTCCCTCTCTGAGATTAAGCTTGTCTTTAGAAAATAAAAGGCTCAGATTATTAAGGCAATTTTTAAAAAGTAGATTTGTTTGATAAAATTTCATTTCAGTTGAATTAGTTTGTTGTAAGCTTATTCACTGGGAAAGATACATCTCTATTATAGCTAAGTTTTATTAAATTGGACCAATTAGACTTTCCTATACAGTCAGTGTTTGGCAATGAATGATTCTTAAAAATTTATAATAAAATTTATAATGATGTTGATGTCTGTACAGGTAAAAATAAAGATGATTATTGTTCTGTATTTAATCATTTCTCTTACCTCCAGTTAGAAGTAATCTCTGACTGTCACTATGAAAAAAGTAACAGGTATTAAGAGAATGATCAGTGATGAGCCCTCACTAGGAAAGAGATCCTTTGCCCTTCTGAGGTTAGCAGAACATTGCTTCTCAAACTATATGTGGTGAAGAACCAATTTATTTTTATTTCCAAGCCATCACAGACCAGTTCTTTGGTAAAATATCAACAAACATATTGTCTATTGAAAGCAAAATGCACAGTGTAAGAGTTGTGGGTTTCAGTCTTATTCAGGGACTTTCCTGAGGACTATAGCCTGGGAAAACAGCCTCTCACTACCTCTGAGGGAACTGTTTTGAAGAGGTAGGAGAGGAAGCTGGTATATGTATGATTTTGGGCTAGGGAGTGCCTGCAGTCAAGCGCACACCTTGGTAAACCATTACTGCTAGGAATAGATATCTCAGTTAGTGATTTTAGAGCTCTCCTATGTATGGGAAGATGCAAGAATCTGGGCTGATGAAAATTCTTCCTGAGATATCTATCTATCTAAGGGGTCTGTTTTTCTAAAGCACAGAGTGACTTACCCTGTTTTTCATCCTGAATTCCTTTCTGGGTGCCCTATTAGCAGTAGGTAATGACTTAATCTTTGTGGAACTGGATGGTGGTCAACATTCTTTGTTTTACAAAATAAACAACAAAGGAGAAGAGTGATTCTATCCTTCTATGTCAGGGAATGACAGACTGCTACAGGGGTTTCTAAAAGCCTCATTTCTGTTATTTTGTCATGAACTGGTCACAGACTAGTGGCCCTGCCGCACTGTGTCTGCAGATCACCCTTGTGTAGTGCTACTCTAGTGCCCGACTGGAAACATAGGTCATTGTTTAGAATCTGATTAAAGCTAGTTGTTCTAGACCTATATTTTGGACAATTTTTTCTCTCCTTTGATATTTTCCTATCGTCAGAGTTGATCAATCATCAGAATAACCCGTGAGATTTTTAAAAATTCCATTAACAGCAGCAACAACCGGTTGGTCCTGAAATAAACCTTTATAATTGAACTTTGGGTGAGAAGCAAAATATTACAAATAGTATAAAACCAGGGGTGGGGTATAGCTCAGTGACACAGTGCCTACTTAGCATGCACGAGGTCCTGAGTTCCATCCCCAGTACCTCCATCAAACAAACAAATCAAATTTCCTCCTCAAAAAACAAACTGTAAAATTTTTTTAATTAGAATATTTTTTAAAGTAAGGGAAAAAAGCAATACACAAGTGGGAAAGAATGCTTCTGTTGACTAAGTAGAGTAACATATAAAGAGAGAGGATGGAGGGTTAGATGGACAGGTGGAAGGATCTATGGATGGATGGAGTGTTGAGGGATGGGCTGTAAGATAAAACAGTGGACTTTCTACAGGAAATGCGGGTGGTTTATTTGCTGGCCAGGAACCATATGCCTCTCTTCCTTACTGGAGACTGTGTTGTTTGCAGGTTGTGCCCGTATGCAGTGTAGTGAGGGGAAGACTTACTCCAATGCAATCATTTCACCGAACTTGGAAACTAACAAAATCATGCCGGTGCCTCAGACCACCCCCGTGGTGGACTGCACGTCGGCGTGCTGTGACCTGTCCAGCTGTGACCTGGCCTGGTGGTTTGAGGGCCGCTGCTACCTGGTGAGCTGCCCCCGCAAGGAGAGCTGTGAGCCCAAGAAGATGGGCTCCATCAGGTCCTACCTCACCTTTGTGCTCAGGCCCGCCCAGAGGCCCACACAGCTGCTGGACTACGGGGAGGTGATGCTGAACAGGGGTTCTCCGTCGGGAGTCTGGGGGGACTCACCTGAGGATATCAGAAAGGACTTGCCCTTTCTAGGCAACGGGCGGGGCCTAGAGGAGATGTCTGAGTACTCGGAGGACTACCGGGAGCTGGAGCAGAACCTCTTCCAGCCCATCAGCAAGCAGGCGCCCCGAGGGAGCGCAGAGTACACGGACTGGGGCTTGCTGCCCGGTGGTGGTGGTGGTGGTGGCGGTGGCGGTGGCGGTGGCGGCGGCGGGGGAGGCTTCAACTCCTCTGCTGGGGAGAGCCCAGCAGCAATGGCGGAGAAGCAGCAGGAGGATCCAGAGCTCCATAAACTGAATGAGTCGGCGTGGACGCCGGCCCCAGAACACGCCCCAGAGAGAGGGTTGTTGCTTCCCTTGGTCACGACTCCATCTTCAGGAGAGGAACTGGAGAAAGAGACTTTTCAGCTCCCGGAGCAACCCAGTAACAGCTCTGGAAAAGAGGTGGGTGTGGCCGGTGTGTGCACGAGACGGTGGGAGGGGCTGTTTACTTTTGGAGCCTGGTCCTCATTAGATGGTACACACAGGAAGGTTCATCTTAAGGACACCAGTTAAGGTATCAGCAAGAAAGATGACTCTCAGAGCCTTCCAGGAAACAAAATGTCTTGTTCCTCTGTTATGCTCTCGTAACTGGACTATCTGAAAGAACAAATAGTTCTTCTGCCTTCACAAGTCAGCCACCTAATGATGATTTAGCGCTTCTCCCTAGAGATGCCTCTACTAGTATCTAAGATGAATGAGGATTTTTAGAGTTCCCTGGAGCCAGCCCATGTACACAGCACATAGAGCCAGGGGCTTTGCATATCTTTTTTTGTAGGAGCAGAAAAAAAATTTTTTTCTTTCCTTCTAGGTTCTTTGGCTGGGGTAATAATTAAATTGACATAGATAGATTCACAGGAGAAAAGCAAATTTACTTCCAGATATATAGGAGACTCCATTAAAAATATGAGAAGTGAACCAAACAAGAGGATTTTATATCTTTTCAATAAAGAAACAGTACATTTGTGACCAATTGACAAACCAAAGGGGTTTAGGTTTGGGGTAGTAAATTAGTGACAAAGTATCTGTTGCAGTTAAGGATCTGTTAAAAAGTAAACTGAAGCACATTAATATTTTAAAGAGTTTATTGGAGCAAAAATGGATCCAAGTCAGCCAGCATCCAATCCAGCCAATAGAAAGGAGCTCTGAGGAGCTGTACAAAGTGAAAGACTTACAGGCAGAAGGAAGTGAGAACAAGGAAGCTGTACAAGACAGTGTGTTGGTTATTCCAAGGTTACTTTCCTTTACTGGAGAGTGGAGGTTTATCAGGCAGATGACCTTAGAATTATTCCTGATTGACTGGCTTAAGATTCCATTCCAGGAAGAGCTGAAACTGTAATTAAGTCTTGGTTTGGGGGCTTAGCATAAGTGACTCTATTTTGGGTCTGTTGTTTTCACACAAGGTTGGTTTATGCAGCCTTCTCAGTCCTAAATTTCCTGTCTCTGGTGGTAAGGACGCCTTCCATCCTCCTGGTACAGTGTTTTATTTTCCACCAAAATACAAATTTTCCCCTACAGTCACAATTAGAGTTTTCTGAGCTGCATTAAGTTGTAGGTAATCCTTGAAAGGAAAGACACCTTTCACATGGGTGAATTATCTCTTGCTTTCAGGGGGACAAAGGACGGTCAGAGTGTCTTTCTTGCACATCTGTGCTATACAGTAGGACCTGTTTCTCAAGTACCTTTCATTCAAAATAATCAGTATGCCAAAGTGGCATATTTGAGGGTGACATATTCTGATCCCCTGCAGTTTCTTCAAGACCCAACAGGATCTCAGGTTGCTGGAATCTCACCAGTGACATGAATCAGTTGGGAAGGAGGAGGGAGATACTAAGGAGAGCACATAAGCTGTACAGAACTTTCTATGAAAAACACAGGTGAAGAGAGTGGGAATCTTTGGGAAAGGAGACATACCAAAAGCAGAGGGAAGGTTCAGGTGCTGACAGCAGAAGGTCAGGGAGAAAGAGAAGGAGATTGCGCTGAGGAGAGCAGTTGGTGAGCTCAGAGGCTGCTCATCTGGGGAATGCCAGGACTTCATGAGAATGTAGTGAGCGTGTGGGTCTGGGAAAGCTGAATGCAGTGGGCAATGAAGGGACAAAAGAACAGTCACAGAAGAAACTGTTGTATTTCCTTTTCTTTTTTTTTTAATTGAAATATAGTTGGTTTACAATGTTGTGTTAGTTTCTGGTGTACAGCAAAGTGATTCAGTTATACATATATATATTCTTTTTCATTGTAGGTTATTACAAGCTATTGAATATAGTTATCTGTGCTATACAGTAGGACCTTGTTGTTTGTCTATTTTTTTATATAGTAGTTTGTATCTGCTCATCCCAAACCCTACTTTATCCCTCTCCCACCCCCTTTTCCCTATGGTAACCATAACTTTGTTTTCTATGTCTGCAAGTCTGCTTTTGTTCTGTAAATAAGTTCATTTGTGTCACTTTTTAAGATTCCATGTATAAGAGATATCATATGGTATTTGTCTTTCTCTTTCTGACTTCACTTAGTATGATATTCTCTAGGTCCATCCATGCTGCTGCAAATGGCATTATTTTATTCTTTTTATGGCTGAGTAGTATTCCATTGTGTATATATACCACAACTCCTTTATCCATTCATCTGTTGATGTACATTTAGGTTGCTTCCATGTTTTGGCCATTGTAAATAGTGAAGCTATGAACATTGGGTGCATGTATCTTTTTGAATTATAGTTTTCTCTAGATACATGCCCAGGAGTGGGATTGTTGGATCATATGGCAAGTCTGTTTTTAGAAACTATTGTATTTTAAGATGTTACCAAATCCAAACTCATTCTGCTCACCACACAACAGGCCAGTAAATCAGGAGACGAGGTACTAGGGCAAGGAATAACAACGTTCTTCGGAAAGCCAGTAGACCAAGAAGATGGGGGACTAATGTCCTAGAGAAGCATCTTACCCAAGTTAGAATTCAGGCTTCTTTTATACTAAAAAGGGGAGGAGATGTGGTTGGTTGTTGCAAACTTCTTGGTGTCAGAATCGTTTGTTCTTGCAGCTGTCCACATAGGTCAGGTCATGATGTTCCTGTAAACCTCTAACAAGACAAATCTTGTTCTCTATTCTGCAACTTTTTATCTCTGTATAAATAGAAAAGTGTTATACCCTGAAAGGTCAGAGCCTTGAGAAGGAACAGGCTGTCTTGTATTTTTCAGGCTATTGGCAACATTCTTTTCCAAAAAGTACAGAACCAGCATGACTAAGCACAGGAAAGCATAGAGTTAGAGCTAAAGGAACAGATCTAATAAGGAGTCAGATTTTTTCTTCTCTGTTACAAAGGTACAAGATGGCAGATCAGAATATAAAGAGGCTTAAACCAATTAAGATTTTTTTTAAAAAGGAAAATACTCTTTAAGATATCAGTGCTTAGGTTAGAGTAGATGAAGAAAGCTGGAATGACATGACTATACATTATAATCGCAACCACTAAAAATTCCTAAAAACATTTTTAAGTAGTGAGATTATCAGAAGTTTTTTTCTGCTTTGATGTATTTTTCTGTCCTTTTCAAAGTTTCCATATTTTTCTGTACTTGTAAAGGTCTTAAAAGTTTTGAAGTCTTCAATTAAAAAAATTAAATATAAGAGATTAATCACATTCTTTTCCCATATCACTAAGCATTAACACAATTTACCTTCTTCTATGTGGCTAAGTCAGCTGCAGAAGAGAGTAGCTGTGTTTTCAATAAACACCAATGCCCCCTCTCCACTTAACATTTGAGTTACAGCTTTTCTTTCTGTGGATTTCACACTCCAACATCCCCTTTGGGTCTCCTGTCTTCTTAGCCTGAGTTTTATTTGCCTGGCTTCACATAGTCACTGGCAGTTGAAGCTCAGAAGAGCACTTTATTATCATGTTATGAGACTTTCCCCCTGGTACTTGATATTTAATTTAAAACCTTTACGTTGGCTAACTCTGTAATTTTAAGTTACAGTTTATATACAATGGATGATATGAATAGAGATCATTTACTCTAGAAGCCTGCTTTTTGTTGAATCATCTGATTGTCTTCAATTATTGCCTTACTGATTAATTTAGGGACTACTATAAATATTTTCTCTTTATCTTGAATGTTTTCTGTTTGTGCGTGTTTGCCTCTAAAAATTATCCAGCCCAGAGTTGTCACACATTTTTAATAGATAGCAGAGAATATTTGAAAGAGACGGTCTAGAGTCCAGTGATTTGCAATATTAGACACAGTGTTTTAAGTGCTAATGGATCTAATTTATGAAAAAGGTCAACGGCATGGTGTTGGCTTGAAGAGTTCAACTTCCCCCCCCCCCATAACAACTTATCCTTGTAATTGATCTCCTAGGTTCTAATGCCTTCCCATAATCCTCCTCCAGCCAGCCCGGAGTTCAGCACAGCCACCATGGAGGAAAACTCAGTTCTCACAGTCACCCCCTGGAACACAGAGCAGAGCATTTCAACCCTTCCCACTAGCACCATCCCCACTGAGTCCACCCCATCTGAGCAACCTGTATCTGCTCCCACTGTTCCCAGGACAGGTAACTTTAAAAAATACTACGGGAAAAAATGTACTGAAGAAAACACTGTAAAATATAGTAGTGACAACTTTTAAAGTTTACTCATCCCCTCCAGGCAAATTGTTGAGCATCATTCATGTACCAGAAACATGCTAGGCACTGGGAATAAAAAGATGAACAGATACTGTCTTTTCCGTCCATGACTCTATAGTCTAGGGAATGAGACTGACAATAAATAGCTGGTTGGATACAATATGGTAAGTGCTGTGAGAGGCTGCTACGGGAGCAGAGAAGGGGCACGCTGCCTGACCCACTCAGAAGGGCCATGGAAGCCTTTCCAGAGGCGATGACGCTAGGATAGATGAACCAGCTAAAATGGGGCTGGCACGTTGTTCAGGTCACAGGCGCTACATGTGTAATAACAATAATGATAATTGTATTTATTGAGCACTCACCCAGTGCCGGGCACCACACTTGGCATTTCCCACGCATCATTTCATTCATTGCCTCTGAGAAGGAACAGAGGTACAAGAGCTCACGTGGCATATTGGGAAGAACTCTAAGGAGTTCTGTGTAGCTGCAACTTACAGGAATGGAGTGGGAATGGCCAGATGAGTCTGGAGTGGTGAGTGGGGCAAGATTTTGAAGGATCCTGTGTTCTATGCTAAGGGATTTGTGCATTACTGGATGAGTAGAGTGAGTCCCTGAGAAATTTTAAGCAGGAAAGTGAAATGATCAAATTGACGTCAAGAACATTATATATATGGAGTTGACTGGAGGCAAGAGGATCCATTAAAGAAAAACCAGAGTGAGTGGTTGCAGGGATGGAGAGAAGGAACCAGATTCAAGAGAGATTGAAAGGGTAGAACCACTAGAAGTTGATAAGTAGTTGAAGGTCAGGATGAAGGTGAAAGGACTCTAAGATGTATGAACACATGGAACTGAAAGTTAGATGAGGAGTTGGGCTGAAGATAAAGGACAAGGGGTCATCAGGGCAGCAGTGATAGTTGACAGCCATGCAGGGAGAGTGGTGGGGTAAGCCTGGCAGAGCCCTGAGGGCTGGACCTTTCAAGCTGTCATTATATCAGGGGCTGGGAGAGCAGAAGTAGCCTACAGAGCTGACAGAGTGCTGTTGGCAGAGAGGTAGGAGAGAAGGAGGAGGGCGTGGGCTGAGGGAATGAGAGAGGAGAGAGCTCTATGTCGGAAGAAGTGATGAAGGGGCCATGTGTCACAGAGGTCATGGTGAGGACTGAAGAGTTCCCATTAGGTTTACTACTAAAGGAGTTACTAGAGACTTTTGTCATGTTTCCTGAGCCTTTCTGTGGGTGATGGACTTTGAGGATTACCCTCTCTTCCTTGGCTGTTTACTTTTGATCCTAAGCTTCAGTAGCGAGGAGGATAATGATGGAGGAGAAGCTGTGTATATTGAAAGGGAAACTGGCCTGGGAATTAGAATCCTTGGGTCCTGATAGTACCTATTACATAAAGCAGTTAGAGGATGAAATGAACTGATCATTTTAAAGCCCTTGGAACAGTGTCTGGCTTAGTTTAATCTGGTATGTAAATTAGTTGTTGAAATAAATACATTTAAATTAGTTAAAATTGGTGGGCGGATTACTAATGATCCACATAGCCTCGAGCAACTTCCATTGCTTTTCTCAGGCTCCATTTCTTCATCTGTAAAATGATGGGTTTGGACCAATGTCCCTTCCAGGTCCTCAGTGTTCTTGCAAGGAGTCAGTGCAAGTGACAGGAAGAGAAGCCAGAGAAAGCAGTGAGGCCTCTGCAGCTGGTCTAGGAAGGCACTCGAGGGGCTGAGTACAGACTGAGAGGGGATAAGAGGATTTAAATGAGCCACATGTCCCTCTAACATCACCAAGCAGCTTAGACCTCTAGAGAGCACTCAGCTTTTTTTTTTTTCCAATCTTTGCTTTTCTCTATGCACTATCTCGACATATATCTCGATTGTATTCTACAAGTGAGACCAATGCCCAGCTGAGTCCAGCCAATGAAATGTATAAATGTACCGCTGGGTATGGAGCAAGGAATTGCCTGGAATGCTGATTTGGTAGTTAAGTGCTTTTGATGAGAGTGAATGTTCCTGCTGCTTGAGTTAAAATAGCCTTTTTTATATTGAGGTTGACTGTATTTCCTCTTGGAAAGGTTCCAAGAGCGAGGCCATTGCAATAATTCATGGGGCTACTATCAGAAGAACTGAGTGGTGTGTGACTAATGAGACACAAACACTTATGATTACCCTCGACCTCTCTATGAATAAAATTAACACTTACCAGGGAGTCAAGCTAAGCTGGTAGCAAGAGAAAATAGACCCAATCCATAGTACCCTCACCTTGTCACCAACTCTTGTCACCAACATCTTGCTCAGTCAGCCTGAAGCCTTATTTTCTCCACAGTGCCAACTCACATAGACAGTTTAAAATGTACAAAATCGACCCTGCAGCATAATATAGGGCATGGTTCCGTTACCAGCTAGAGGGGAAATGTGTCTTAGATAAAATCACATGAACTGTTACAAAAATATATTATTTTATAGATACTAAAAACAAATCTATTATAGGCAGTAATATAACATCATTAAAGTATATAATGAAATGTACTATTTCTAATTAACTTTTAGTGAAAGAACTCATGGTGTCGGCTGGCGAAAACCTAATAGTAACTTCACCGGAAAGTGAAGTTGAACTGAAGGCCTTTGTTGTGCCAGCGCCACCTGCAGGTGAGAGTTTGACTTCCCTCTGACACCAGGAGGGGCTGATAGCTGGCGTGTCCTTAATGGGTCTTTACTGGTTATTTACAGTATTGATTCATTTTCACAACGTTGTGTCATTCTGGAGTGGATGACAAGGCTTTGATGATCATAAGCATTGAAGTGTATTTAAATAGTTTAAAATGGAGTAAAAGGATTGGAAATTAAGGATGGTGTATTTCCTTTAATTGGTCAGGATAGAAAGTCATACATCTCTGATGATACAAAGCAGAGTGATATATTAGGACAGGAGAGGTTTCCACATCCCAGCTTTTGACTTGTTATAACTCATGGAGCCTGAGAAGATACCACGTGTCAGGTGAAGGACGTGGCATGTGCACAAACGTTTGTTTGCAGATGTGGTGGTGATAACATGGCTCCGAGGTTCTCAGCATCCTCACAGCAGCTGTTCAAAAAATGTTGTTTAAAATACTTCCTTCTGCTTGTCCAGCACTCTGCTACTGAGCAAACATTTGGCCTACTCCTGTGACCTCGCAAATGCATACTTTCTTAGAGTATATTCATTCTTAAGGTATTTGAATATTTCTCATTTGGGTTAGTTCCTTTATTCATTTTTCCCTCTGACATGAATCAAAATTTAAGCATAGATGATAATGTTTGGCATTTATATTTTACTCCTTCCAGCTGAGGTACCTCGTCCTTTAACCACTAGTACCCCAAGGTGGGAGGTGGGAGACAGCTTCAGCTTGATACAAAGAGGTTTAATCTGTTTCTCTGTCCTTACATAAACCCCTACAACAGATTAAATGAATTGAAATCTCCTTGCCTTTTATTAAAAGGAGAAAAAGTACAGTGGATTATACATACTCTGTTAAAATTTATACGTATAGTCAGATATCACAGTCTGGAAGGAAAGTCATCAAACACTAACAATGAAATTAGGGCATTTAAAAAAATTTTTCTACATTTTCTAAATGTCTTATATGTTTTATGTTCTTATAATAAAAAAAGAAATTTTACATTAAAATGTTATGGAAACCTTGTTATTCCTCAGCTGGATGATAGTTGAAAGTTCAGTTCAGTATTTCTAATTGAGCTCTGCTGGTAGATTGAAGGCTGTCATTTTCTTCCCTCCACCCAGATTATAGTGACCTCTCAGAATTTATAACTACTTATATTTCTTTTTTGCTCTCAGGAACAACCTACAGCTATGAATGGAGTTTAATAAGCCACCCTGAAGACTACCAAGGTGAAATAAAACAAAGACACATGCAAACTCTTAATCTCTCTCAAGTGAGTAACTGGGGACAAGTTGTATTTGACAGCATATCTTAGAATTCAGGTAACACCTTCTTAGCTGTTGAAGCCGGAAGTCTCTCTTTTGATTAAAATCAAAAGAAGGATCCAAATGAATTGAGTCTCAAGCATGTAGGTAGACAGGCAGATTTAAAAACAGGACCTTTCGGTAATTTTTCTTTGACTTACTTATGTGTCAACCCGGAGAAAAGAGCCTGGTTGCCCAGGCTGATCTGGGTCTCTGTTTGAGGTTAAAGTCTGTTTACAACTCTTGCTCCCTTTGCAGTGTTAGAGACATTCTGGTTATCTCTGATTCTTAGGCACATTTCTAGGGTTGCCAGCAATTGCATTCCAGTTCACAAATGGTTTGACTACCAATTATTGCTCCAAGATGTAAGCCCACACAAGAAGAAACCTAGTCCATAGATGACTGGGTTGTCATCAGTCCTGAGGCTGCACAGCTACTGGTGCAACACGAGTTGGCATCACCCCCGCGTCACTGAGCGCTGCCTCTCAAAGTCTGGTACCCGAACCACCCACCAGAGCTACTTGGTAAAACTGCATGATTCCCCTACACGCGAGTTTGAGAACTGCCGCCCTCAGCCGGTCTGTCTCACAAAGGCCTCAGTGAGGCATGTGAGCATCTGTAACTAAGCTGAAGGCCTTCCTGGGTGATCTTGGTGTCCAGAGTGCAGGCATCACACACGTGGCCGTGTGTCCGCAGGGCCTGAGCCCCTTCTCTGTGTTGACTCCAGGAGAACGGCTCCTGGAATATTTTAGGATTTTCTAGGCAGTGGACCCATCGTGTCTTTTGCATGTTTACCGTTGTGACTTTTCTTGGTGTTGCAGTTGTCAGTCGGACTTTATGCCTTCAAAGTAGCGGTTTCTGGTGAAAATGCCTTTGGAGAGGGATTTGTAAATGTCAGCGTTGAGCCAGGTAAGGCTGAGTAAGAGAACGGCCTCTTGTTGTACAGGCTCCATTTTTGGTGTCCTAATAACACAGTGATAGATATTTTTGGTTTTATATTAAGCTCCATTGTACAGAAAGCATGCAAAGACCCTAGTTAGTTTGATTTTTTTTCCCTTTCTGCTTGCTGTATAGTTCTTAGTACTCGCTTGACCCTGCTGTGCAAGGTTGCAAGGTCATGGCTTGCTGTCCTTAGGTACTGGCATCACCTGTGCCTTAGCCTCCTGTGTCTGACGTCTGCTGCATTCACTCTTCCACCTCCGTCCCCCATGACTCGGCTTGATCTTAGGCGAAAGAGCTTTTCAGATACATTCAACTGAGCAGCTCAGGGGTCCAGGGAAATGTATGCCATGGGCCTTCAAGCCCACTGGCCCTGTCAGGCCTCCACCAGCCCAGCCCATAGGTCAGTGCCCGTGTGTGAATCAGAAACAGTGGACTTTGTCTGGGAGAGCAGGTCCCAGCTCAGCAAGTGGAACGTGGGCCGGGCTGCCTCTACCGCCCCCTCTGCTGGGCTGTGGGCACGGCCTGCCCAGTGGGGGTGGGCCAGCTCGGTGCCAGCCCCACCTCCAGCCTCTGCCTCAGGGGCTGGCAGGTCCCCCTTTTGCACATTCTGCCTGATTGTTCTTATGGCTAACTGTGGTGGTGGCGGTGGCGGTGGTGGTGGTGGTGGTGGTGGTGGTGGGTGCCTTCAGTCAAATGTTCAAGATCCAGTTAATCTTGGGAGCTAGGACCATACTCCATGACTCCTCTTCTGCAGTTGTGCTCAGATTCCGTGACTAACCCTGTGACTATTATTACCCCTGTTCACTGAACCTGGGCTTTTGTACAAAAATGTAAACCTGCAGACAAGCTCCTAAAAGTCATAGGAAGGTTCCAAAACATTAATAGGACTTTCCGTAGTTGAGGCCTGTAGGCCTTCTTGATAGGATATTGATAACCAATTTTTACCCATCAGATGGTTTATTTGAGTGGTGACGTGGCATATACAACGTGGGCTCAGTCAGTGTCCTTCTTTTCTGTCACGCAGCCACAAGAGTCAACCTGCCACCCACGGCCGTTGCTTCTCCCAAGAGACAAGAGCTCACTCTGCCTTTGACGTCAGCCCTCATTGATGGCAGCCGTGGGTATCCTGCTGTATTTTAGGGGTGTTTACCCTGCATCCTGTGAGATGTAATGGGTGTTCTCTGTCAAGGCTGAGAGGACCTAGGGGCTAATATATTGATAGATGGACCCCTCTCTCTTCAGTCTCATATCTTAAAGTTCTTCAGTTCCTTCAGCACAACTTCTCTGTCTTAGCCCTAATTTCCCTTCATTTATGTCTCATTTGTCTATGAGAAAGTTCTTTAGGGCCTATTTGATTAGAACTAAAGCACTTATTAAAGAATCTCCTTTCCATGCAGTATATATGATGAGCAGTTGGAAATTTCTTTTCACAGATATTAGAAGGGTTGCCTTCATGAGGGTGGGTGGTGTTTTGTTCATTTAATTCGGAGTTCATTCCTTCTATAAGAGTGCATGTGGAAAGGGCCCCAGTGGAACTACCTGGGTCCAGGCAAGTGAGAATACGTCGAAAACATATGCTATGTTTGACAACATACTCAGAGCATGTCCGACAATATCAGTGTAACCAGTGTTTGCATTGATGTCCACTGAATCATGAATCTAAGACAAAATCCTGTAGAGTGAATAATGCTGCCTCTTTTTGCAAGTCTGCAAATATCTGAAAATCACATTGACATGATCATTTGCATCTATTGAAATATAAATGTCTACATCACTCCCTTAACAGTGTGAAAATAAGGCATATTTTATTTATTTATTGTCATAATCACAGAAGGCATATTTTAAATGACAGTGTTTCACGAGACGATGCATTGCATCGTGATTCCTCTAATCAGTGTGGCTGAGTTACAGGAAACTGCTCAGGATTATTAATCTGTCACATGAAATTTTCTTTCCTTAAATGAATTAGATGAAACTGGCTTTCTTCAGGTCTAAATTTCTATGATTCTACGTAGCACATTTTGTTTGCTCTCTTTTAAAGTAGAAATGAGAAGTTTTCATGTATGGTACTGCTTTTCCCTGGATTTACACTTAATGATGAGGGTAGTAAAAGGTGTTTTGTAAATATGTATAAGCATCACTTAATTCTTGATGAATCTGCCAGTTCAGGTACCTATTTAAAGCCTCAGTAAGGTATCTTGTGCTGTCGTTGAGGTGAGTTTTTTAAACAGCAAGAGTGCCTGTCACTGTGCTTTTTACATCAACAGCTAAGTGGAAACACCCTCACTCAAACCTGGTGGAAATTCAGGAGGAAAATTGTGATGATAATTTAGGAAGAAGAAGAAATCCTTCCTTCTAATACACAATATATATCCGTTGAAAACTACGCAATTAGAATTTCGTACAAAAACAAATTTAACTATGCAATAATATGAATGACCAAATTTATGTTTTAATATTCTTGCATATTAGTGCTCATTTATTTTTTAATCTTTCTAGAAAGTACAGATGATACTAAAATAGTGAGTTATCACTGGGAGGAAATTACTGGGCCCTTCCTAGAAGAGAAGACCTCGGCTGACTCCCCCGTCTTACATTTGTCGAATCTTGTTCCTGGAAACTATACCTTCAGGCAAGTGGGTTTCCCACCTTTACTGTGCCTTCTAGCACTGATGTTTTGACTATTTCCTTAAACTGATGCCTGTGGAACACTGTGCTTCTTTTCATTTTGATCAAGAGGCAGGGCGAATTTGGTTTTCCTGGGTGCTTTGGTTGGCAGCCACTTTAGACTCTGACAGCCTCTTCAGTAATATAAATTAATAAATACAATATTATTTAAATGTATTAATTAATTATTAATCAATTAATAACTTATCTATTTATATAAATTAAATAAGTATATATTAAATATAAAATAATATAAAAATAAATATAAACGCCTCTTTATTGGAAACCTTTGGCTTTGGTTGTCAGGAATAATTTGGGATGGCATCTTTTTGCTGTGTTGAGTTATGTGAAAGAAAATTTGTATCTTCAGAGTCAAAGGCAGAGTTTCATGATCTGTCTTAATCTTTTACTTTTTACAACTCTGAAAAGTATAACAGAAGTGTAATAAACTGTACATATGTAAAGTATAACATTTGATGAGTTTTGATGTGCATACACCTGTCAGGCCATTGTCACAATCAAGATAATAAACATTTCCATCCTCCCCCGAAGTTTTCTCAAGCCCCTTTGGAATCCTTCCCTCCCTCCACTCCTGTCTTTGGGCAACCATGAGCTGCTTTCTGCCACCTTAAATTACCTTCCACTTTCTAGAATTTCATATAAATGGAATTGTACAGTAAGCGCTCCTTTTTTGGCTGGCTTCTTTCACTCAGAAAATGATTTTGAGATTCATCCACTCTGTTTGTATCAATGGTTTGTCCCCTTTTGTTGCTGAGTACTATTCCAGTGCACGGATGGACCACGGTTTATTTAGCCTTTCACCTAGTAAGGGCATTGGATTGTTTATAGCTTTGAACTATTACAAGTAAGGCTGCCATGAACATTTGTGTAAAAGTCCGTGTGGACATAGATTTTCATTTTGGTGGGGCAAATACCCGAGTGGGAAGGCTAGGTTCTATGGTGAGTTTATGTTTAACATTTTAAGAAATTGCCGAACTCTTTCCCAAAGAAGGTGTATTATTTTGCATTCCCACCTGCAGTGGATGAGAGTTCCAGTCTCCACATCCTCACCAACACTTGGTGTAATCATTCGTTTAAATTTTATCTAATTTGATGAGTGGTGGTATCTCATTATGGTTTTAATGTGCATCTCCCTGCTGAGTAATGACATTAAGCACATTTTCAGATGCCTATTGGTCACTCATTTAACTTTTGTGACATCTCTGTTCAGATCTTTTTCCTGTTTTAAGAATTACTTTGTCTTAATTAGTTATAAGATTTTTATACATTCTGAAACAAGTTCTTCATTTTATATGTGTATAGTCTTTCCTCCCCAGTATATGAGTTTGTTTTTGTTCTCTTAATGGTATCTTTTAAAGAGCAAGTTTTAAATTTTGATTGTCTAATTTATCAATAATTTTCTTTTATGTTTTATGCTTTTTGTATTCTATGTAAGTAAACTTTGTTTATCCCAAGATTGCACAGATCGTGTTTTTCTTCCAGATGTTTTATAGTTCTAGGTTTTATATTTAGATCTGTGATCTCTTTTGAATTATTTTTATGTATTGTGTAAGATTTCTGCAGTCAAATGCTCTACCCCTGAGCTATACCCCCTAAGATTTCTGAATGGTAAATCAACCTTGCATTCATGAGATAAAACCTGTGTGATCATGATATCCTTTTTATATGTAATGGGATACAACTTGATAATATTTTTATAAGAATTTTCACGTCTATCATCATAAAAGATTTGGCTTATGATCCCCCTCCCCTCTCTTTTTCTCAATGTCTTTATTAAGTTTTGGTATGAGGATTATATTGGCCTAATAACACAAGTTGTGTAGTGATCCATCCTTCTTTATTTTCTGAAATATTTGTGAACAGCTGGTCATATTTCTTCCTTGAATGTTTGATGTAACTCACCAGTAAACTCATCTGGGCCTAGAATTTTCTTTTTGGAAAAGTTTTTGATAACAAATTCAATTTCTTTCCTAGATGTGAGGCTTTCATTTTTTAAAAATAGATGTGAATCTAATAGATGTTAGACTTTCTGTTTTTTTCCTGTGTCCTTTTTTGGTAAATTGTATTTTTCAAGAAATTTGTTCATTCTGTCTAAATTGTCAGATTTGTTGTTGTAAAGTTGTTCATGATACATTCATATTATCCTTTCGTGTCTGTAGGATCTGTGGTGATAACCCTTCATTGATTTCTAGTATTAGTGATTTGTGTTCTCTTTTTCTCTTGGTCAGTCTAATTAAGGGGTTTGTTTATTTTGTCTTGTTAAAGAACCAGAACTAGAGCTGTGTCAATTTTGTTTGTTTTCTAATTTGTTCTTTCTTCTCTTCTCTTTATTATTTCTTTATTTCTGTTTACTTTTGCTTTACTTTGTTCTTCTTCTTCTAACTTCTTAGAGTAGAATCATATTTAGATCTTCCTTAAAAGCTTATGAAGCTTTTAAAGCTGTAATTTTCTACTGATTACTGCTTAACTACATCTCACACACTTTGGATGTTATATTTTTAAGATCTTGTATACTGTTTTAAGAATCTGATGATTTGGGGGAAGGAGCCCATCCATATATATTTATGAATCCTCTGAATCTGGCTAGGTTAATAAACTCTCAAGCATCTGCTGAATTCATCTTTGACTGAAAAGTCCACAGAGGTGCTCTAGAATGCTTTAGATTTTACACATGCTGTAAAAACTTCTGTTTTGGTTCATATAGTTGGAAGTAATCAGTAAGCAGCCCTCTCAGATTGGCTTCTTTCACTTAGTAATACGCATTTAAAATCCCCCCATGTCTTTTCATGGTTTGATAGTGCATTTCTTCATAGTACTGAGTAATATTCTATTGTCTGCATGTACCACAGTTTATCCATTTATCTACCAAAGGACATCCTGGTTGCTTCCAAATTTTGGCAATTGTAAATATTGCTGTCAAAAGCATTTGTATGCAGATTTTTGTGTGAACATAAGTTTCAGCCCTTTTGGGTAAATAGCACAGAGCATGATTGTTGATCGTATGGTAAGAGTGTGTTTAGTTTTGTAAGGAACTGCCAAGCTGTCTTCTAAAGTGGCTGTAGGGGCGGGGCTTCAAGGTGGCAGACCAGAAGGTCGTGGAGCTTACCCTCTCCCACAAATACATCCGAGTGGCTGTACCATTTTGCATTTCTACCAGCAATGGATGTGAGTTTCTGTTGCTCCACATCCTGGCCAGCATTTGGTGTTGTCACTGTGCCAGATTTTGGGTATTCTAATAGGTGTGTAGTGGCATTTCAGTGTTGTTTTAATTTTGTTTCCTTGATGACATGGTGTAGAGCATCCTTTCATATGCTTATTTGCTATCTGTCTGTCTTCTTTACCGAGGTGTCATGTGTTTGTTTTTAGTTTACCACCTTGGCATCCATAGGTTGACACAGAAGAAATACAGGTTTCAAGAAACAAGTATTATCTTTTTATGATAAGAATAATGCACATTTTCCATAAAAATAAAATATAATATATCTATAAGCAGAAAGAAGGAAACTGAATACCTTCCACTACTTAGAAATAAACACCCTTGCCAATATAGTATTTATGTGTATGGTCTTTTTCTATACAGACATAAATATACCTTTTTTTCTTACTTGGATCAAAATATGTAAGACGTTTTACAAGCTATGTTCTATATTTTCTTCTAATATTTAAAAATGTTGTCTTTCACATTTAAATGTTATCCATCTAGAATTGATGATATATCCATTGTCCAGTACTAGTTACTGTATAGCCAGTTGCCCCAGTACTAGTTATTGTCTAGTCTGTCCTTTCCCAAGCTGTAGGACCACATCCCTCCTACATCACATTTTCATGTATGGGTGGATCTGTTCTTAGATTCCCCATGAACATTCCTGTTGTTCAATGTTCTGCAGCATCACATTTGATGCTGTGCTGATACATTGTAGATAATTAATTTAACCCCATTATTCAGTGTTTGGGTGAACATTCTTACAGTTAAATTTTGGAGTGCAAGTAAAATGTCTGGGTCAGAGGCCTGTGTGTTTTTAAGGAATTTGATGTATGTTGCCAGATGATTGTCTGCTTCTTATCTGAGGGCTTTGTTTAGGTACACTTGTGGGAACGGAGTACGTGGGACAGTGGCCCAGAATTCATGGGTCCCCGTACATGTGCCTTACCTATAAATAAGACCTGTGTTCCTTCCAGAGATTCATTCTCCTATTCACACCTGTTAAACATTCATCACTGCTCTGAGCTAACATTTTTATCCCAGAAGGATGAAGTGACCATATTTTACCGATCCAGTTGCTACCTCACCAGTGAGTTTACTACAGGAGGGTCAGGGCAGCTCTCTCTTTGTTGTGTGTGTTGGCTGAGTATCGTTTGTATTTGAAAATGCTTAATCCTAAAATTGCTTTGCAGGACTGTCCTGAAACCATAATTATATTAAGTCCTCTAGAAAAGAATGAGAAAATTCAAAAGTTTTGGAGCTGAAGATTCATGAGTGATTTGCTGTCTCCACATGCTCAGGCCTGAAGGCAGGTCTTAAAGCTGATACATTCTGGGTCTCAGATAGTAGAGAGAGGCCTCTGTGTTGGCTGAAGGATGATTTCTTCATCCGGCATCAGAAACCCATACAAAATTAAACTCTGTCATGTGAACATATTACTAGCGAAAAATGAAGTAAATCAACAGCAACATAGAATTTAAAATATATCCTCAAGTCTCTGTGCTTTTCTCTGCTTCATCCTCTGATTTCTATTTGCACCTGCTCTGAGTTTTTATGAGAAACGTATCGTGGGCAGACTAAATCGGCCATTTGCCTTAAGATTTGGCATATTCTTTAAAATTATTTTTTTACATTTTTAAAAATTGAAATATAGTCAGTTTACAATTTTGTGTCAATTTCTAGTGTACAGCATAATGTTTTAGTCATACATATACATATATATTCCTTTTCATATTCTTTTTCATTATAGGTTACTACAAGATATTGAATATAGTTTCCTGTGCTATACAATATGAACTTGTTGTCTATCTATTTTATATATAGTAGTTAGTATCTGCAAGTCCCAAAGTCCCAATTTATCCCTTCCCACCCCCTTTTCCCCTCTGGTAACCATAAGTTTGTTTTCTATGTCTGTGAGTCTGTTTCTGTTTTGTAAATAAGTTCATTTTTTAGGTTCCACATATAAGTTATATCATATGGTATTTTTCTTTCTCTTTCTGGCTTACTTCACTTAGTATGATGACCTCCAGGTCCATCCATGTTCCTACAAATGGTATTATTTCATTCTTTTTTTATGGCTGAGTAATAGTCCGTTGTGTATATATACCACAACTTCTTTATCCAGTCATCTGTTGATGGACATTTAGGGTGTTTCCATCCAGACTTGGCATATTCTCGCAACATAATAGCTTCCTCTTCTTGTTGTAGGTTGACTGTTACAGACTCAGATGGAGCCACTAACTCTACAACGGCAACCCTAGTAGTCAACAGTGCTGTGGACCATCCACCAGTTGCCAACGCGGGACCAAATCAGACTATAACTTTACCTCAAAACTCCATCACTTTGAATGGAAACCAGAGCAGTGATGATCACCAGATTGTTCTCTATGAGTGGTCCCGGGGCCCTGGGAGTGAGAGTAAAGAGGTGACCATGCAGGTAAGTTCTCTGTCCTGCCTTCAGACATTTATTTGTCTGTCTGCCTGTCCATCTGTCCATGCATCCATTTATTCACCCATCCATCCATCCATCCATCAATCCATCCTTTGGTCAGTCGATCGATCGATCTATCTATCTATCTATCTATCTATCTATCTATCTAAAATATTGGTGTGAAGGGGCAGTTAAATTCAGAAAATATAAATTTATAAAATTGTCTGATATATTACAACCATTAGAAGAATAGCTAACTCACAAGTTCATATCACTTCCCACCCTATGGAAAGCCCAGAATAGCAATTAAGCAGGTCCTGTGTTGACAACTTGACCTTGAGGTTAGTTTGGGAAAAGTCTGACCCAACATTTGCTACAGAAATATTATTTTTGTATTAAGAAAAGCCTTAAAAATAACCTAATCTAAACCTCATTATCAGAAAATTCCTTTTTATTTTGTTGGTCCTATGTTTAGAAACTTCATGTTACCTTTTCTGGATTCTGTGATCTCTTGTTCAGATCTTTTTGTGTTTACCTTTTGATTTGTTCAAATCTCTAATATATTTGTTTAAAGACAGAATAACCTTGAAACTTTGCTGGGTGTGCTTGCGTGCGTGAGTGTGTGTGAGCTGCCTGCTTCTTGTTTTGGTGATGGCCAGAACTATTTGTTTTTGTCGCTAACCAGCTTGGTATCTTTGAAGTCATGTTGTTATTTAGGAGTTTAACGGAAAAAAGATAGTACCTTATGTTGCCACCTTCCTCATTTCCTTTAAGCTCCATCTCACCAGTCCAAGACAATTTCTTACTAGTATTTGTTATGAAGTCAGACATTTCATGGAAACTGACCTACTTTACTCTTGATATTTCTGGAAAGTGCTTTGCAATTGGGATGAATTAAAAATGACTGATTGGGTTCATGGAACTTAAAAGAGCCATGAGTCCTCCAGATAGCCTTGGAGAGCACTTGGCATAGTGGCCATCTCTACTTAAGGGTTGTGGCAGGTGTGGTGTTCACTTGGGTTAAGAATTCTGGCAATATAGTGAAAAATCAAACAACATAGAGAAATCTCCAAAAACAAAATGTTAGATAAAAAAGCAAGTTATAAAAAGATCATAGTAAATGACACTATGCATGTGAAGTTTAAAAAACGTGCCAAACAATGCTGTATATTTTAGTGTAAAAAAAAAGAATTCTGATTTAGAGGGATTTGTTTACAAAACAAGAAGATAGGATATTTTGTCTTTCCTCAGTTAAAAAATATTCCAAATTATCTTTCACTTAATTGTTGTGAATTATGTGCTCAGAGTTAATGCCCCAGTGCATCCATGCCTGATGAACATGTATCCAGAGGAAGCCACTGGTCCAGGAACACAGAGCTAGCCTCCCTACTCTCCACACCTGCTGCCTGCTGCAGACACTCAAAGATTATCCACAGTAACAGTGTTACTGCCTTGCGGTTGATAGATTCAGATGTCAAAAAGGGTGATGCTTTTTATTCACTGGGATGCTCACCAAGATCAGCTCTTAAATTGGTCTAAAAATTGTGAAGGCAAGCAGCAGAGGCTAAGCTCTGGACTAGGGAAGGTCATTGAAGCCTGTGCCACTACCTGAATCATTTGGCTGTTTTGGAGGGGTGCTCAGTGAATTAGTCTGCTCAGTTCCCATTTGCCACAAGGTTCCTTTTTATTGTGTGCATAAGCAGTCACGTAACCATATTAATTTTTGAGGCAAGTACTAGGAAATTATACCTTCTCCATAGAGCACTTCAGGGAAAAAGTACTTTGCTTATTTAGTCAAAGTAGGGAAAAGGACTTTTTTTTATGCATTCTTAAAAGAATGCATTTCATATTTCAGAAGTGCCTCTTGTGATAACACAACTGATTTTCTATCAATTTTCCCATTAAAACTTAAAAAAAGAACATGCAGATATATTTATCTTTAGGAATCTTGGAATCAGTTAAAGTAAATATAATAGAGCTTACAATTAAAAATCCTTTTCATGATGGCATGAACTGCAAACATAAGCAATAATTGACAATATTACCAACAACACAGCAGCAATAAAATGAAAGGGTATTAATCTGAAGGCAACGAGTAGATAACTGCTATATACTCAACTAAAAAAATGCCTTATTGAAAAGTTTTATTGTCCTGGTATTTAAAAAATTTATTCTACAGCAAGGACATACTGTATAGCACAGGGAACTATATTCAATATCTTGTAATAACCTATAATGGAAAAGAATCTGAAAAAGAATATATATGTACAACTGAACCGCTTGGCTGTGCACCTGAAACATTGTCAGGTCAACTATACTTCAATAAAAATTTAAAAAAAGAAATACATGCAAAAAATGAAAAATTCAATTCAAAAGATAACAATAAATGGAGAAAAATAACAAAAAATATTTTTGATTATAAAAGTAAAACAAATTTACTTCCTGTGGTTAAAAAAAAAAGCCTCAAATTCTGATAAAGTGAAAATGCACCTTGACCTCATTCAAGCTCCATTATTTGAGATAATTACTTTTACGCGTTTAATGTGTGTACATCCAGAACTTTTCTGTGTTTGTATATATGCAATATGTGCATGTAGCAATATCAACCATACTGTATTTGTTGTTTCACTTTCTTTTTTTTTGCTTCATAATGTGTCTTTGACATCTGTCCATTTTATTATTTATAAATCTACTTTATTATTTTAAATGTCTTTCTTTTTCATAGTGTATCATGCTGGGTTTGGTTATTCCCTTGTTGATGATCACTTAGATTGTTTCCTTTTTTTTTTTTTTTTTTTTTTTTGCTGTTATAGGCAATGCCTCAGTTAGCATCTGTGGGTGAGTCTCCGTAATTATGCATATAGCCATATCTCTAGTGTAGACACTAAGAAGTGGAAATGCTGGGTTGAAAAGTGCCTTCATTTAACACCTGAATGATACCATATGGTATCACTTAAATGTGGAATCTTAAAAAATGACATAAATGAACTTATTTACAAAACAGAAACAGACTCACAGACACAGAAAACACACTTACAGCTGTTGGTGGGGAATGAGGTGGGAAGGGATAAATTGAGAGTTCAGGATTTGCAGATACTAACTACTATATATAAAATAGATAAACAACAGGTTCCTACCACAGAGCACAGGGAACTATATTCAATACCTGGTAATAACCTATAGTGGAATAGAACATGAAGAGGAATATATGTATAAATGTATAACTGAATCACTATGCTGTACACCAGAAACTAACACAACATTGTAAATTGACTATACTAGTCAATTAAAAGTAAATTTTAAAAAATCAGGAAAAATTGAAGGAAAAAACCCCCAAAAACATTTGAATGGATCTTGCTATATTGGCTTCTAAAAATGCTATATTAATTTATATTCCTTCAATAGTGTCTGAGGGTATCCAGTGGACTTTAGATCCCATTTTCCTGGGACATATACATTTTTTAAAAGCAGGATCTCCCTACTTAGTAAAAAGCATTAGTTTTCCATTATGCCATACTAATTACTCGTGCTGCTGTAATATTATTTCTTGTTCATTTTTGTATTTGCCATTACTTAGGGAGTAGAGACACCGTACCTTCATTTGTCATCACTGGAGGCAGGAGACTATACATTTCAGCTGATGGTGACAGATTCTTCAAGGCAACAATCCACAGCTGTGGTCACTGTGACTGTCCAGCATGGTAGGTGAGATGGGAAAGGGGTTTGGCCCCAGAGATTAAAGCAGAAATGACGTCTGGGCTTCTGGGCTTCAGACAAGCCAGATTTGGTGCAAATTCTCTAAGTCTTTGAACTATTAAGAAATCAGGGCTGCAGAAGCTGAATCTTAATATGAAGCCAGTTTTCTCTTGTGGTTCTGAATTATGTCCTGTGTCTCTAAATCATGGCACAAGGGACAGAGTGAGAGCCATCCCAAGTCATTCTGGGCTCCGATGCCGCGTTCCGCTCTGCTGCAAAGCTCGAGGGCATTCTTGAAGAGACTGGTGGTTACATGCGGCTTGATACTCAGATGGCCTGTGTCCAGACACTGGGGAGTTGATACAATTCCACTCCCTGACTTTTGAGGTCTTTTAAAGAACCCAAAGATGTATGTATTAGGGAACAGTATTTCTTGCTGTCTGTATCCCCAGTCTCAAACTCAGAATATTTAACTCCTGGGTCATCTGGGAGACTGCAGTGTTTCACCCCAGGATTCCCAGAGGACATGGTACGCTCTAGTAGCTACCTGATCTGAACATGAGTAATTGGCTTAAATCAAGAAATCAGGGGATGGCAGACTTAATGCAAGGAGATACTTCTTCATGCCGTTTCTGTATTCTAGAAGACAACAGGCCTCCGGTGGCGGTGGCTGGCCCGGATAAGGAGCTGGTCTTCCCAGTGGAGCACACAACCCTGGATGGGAGCAGGAGCAGTGATGACCATGGCATTGTTTTCTACCACTGGGAGCATGTCAGGTAGTCAGCCCGTCTCATCACTGGGTGCTGGTTCACGCCCTGGCTGAGTGTTAATATTACCCTTTCCCTGGAGGGTCTAAATCAAACCATCAACTTGAGATTGTTCAGGAGTCAGAATTTAAGCAAGTTTCTAGAACTGGCCGGACACTGTTGATTGAAGACTACATCAGGTGTGGATGGACAAGTTGGGCATTCCTGACAGTGGAGGGAGGTGGAGCCTGGGGCAGGTGGACAGGGCAGTCTTGGTGTGAGGTAGGCTTCATGACAGAAGAGGTTCAGAAGAACCTGCTGTGGTTCTCGCGCAACTCGTCTACACTCGCTCAAACCATCTGCGGTGACTGTAGACAACAGAAGTGCAGAGTTCAAGGGGTGCCTGTATCCTCTAACATTTTCTGTGCTTTACATCCTTAATCTCATAGAATCCTAGATCAGTTCTTAAGAGGTAAATAATAATATTATTCCCATCTTAAAGGTGAAGAGACTGAGACTTGCAGAGATGGGTGAGATCACCGGGCCTACGGTTGCCCAGGTAGTAAGAGCAAGGCTGGGGCTCCACCCTGGGCCTCTCTGCCTACAGAGCCCACGATCTTCATGACTACACTGTAATTCCTCTCTCCGGTTACCTGGCTCATTCTCGCCTCTTCCAAGGTCTCCCGAAAGACAGCAGAGGATTTCAGCTGATTTTATTCAAAGAAGAAATAGGAGTAGTTTCTAAGGTTTCATTTTCTAAGAACAGATTGGTTCATTGACAGCTCAATTTGAAAAAACAAAAACAAAAAATCCCCAAATTCTCTTCCCAGGAATCCAGCAGCCTCTGTCTGAAATAGGCTTTAGCTTGTGACTCTTACACGGAACTAGAGAATATAAATGAATTAAAAGTGATCTTAAAAAAAAAGTGATCTTAGAATTCTCTAGATGGTATATATCATTGCTGTGAAAAGAAGCATTATAAGGACACAAACAACATACCTGCCGGCAGCAGAATCCCACACCTCCTGCCTTTTGTCAATGACTGTCCTGTTTCATAGAGGCCCCAGCATGGTGGAGATGGAGAACGTGGACAAAGCTATAGCCACTGTAAGCGGTCTTCAGGTGGGTACCTACCACTTCCGTTTAACAGTGAAAGACCAGCAGGGACTGAGCAGCACGACCACCCTCACCGTGGCCGTGAAGAAGGGTGAGTCAGGGCAGAGGGCGGGTGGACCTGCCGGTGGAGGGAGCCGGGTCGCTGCTGCTTTCCAGACTGATGGACCCTAAGCCAGGCCGTGATTATCTGAAAATGTTAGTGTTAGGTTATCGGTTCACGGCAGGTGCCCATCCCTGCTTGGCCGAGAAAAGGCTACTCTTCTTCTGCCCCCGTTAGCTGTTTTCCAGTCTCCCTCTGTGAGCGAACAGCGCTTCCTTTTGTTTGTGGAGTGTATCTTCTAATGGCTTCATTCTCCTTTGACCACTGGCAACTCAAGCCCCATGTCCAAGTGACACCATGATGCTTTGCTTTCTCTCTTCCTTGGAAATCTCAGAGCAGAGATGTTTTCAAGTTCTGTGTTGTTTCTTAATGTGAAATGTAGGGTCTAGTCTTTTGCCATCTTGGTTTAGGTACTGATGTCTTTGCTGGTCCTTTGCGAGAGGCTGAAGCAATTTTTTTTAAACAATTTTCTTGTGGTATAATTTCTGTATTGTAAACTACACATATTTTAGATGTACAATTTGAATTTTGGCAAATATATACACCTATGAATTTTATCAGCGAAGTGACATTGGTTTGAGTTTTTTCAAACACTTTATTATGGAAGTTTTCAGCCATATATAAAAGTACAGTGGGCAGCCTTAATGCACCATCATAAACTCATCACCCAGCTTCAGCAGTTATCAACATTTACCGGTCTTATTTCATCTATCAAGTTGTGTTTTCTTTTTATCTTGGTTGAAGCATTTTAAAGCAAACCCTAGGATCATGTCACCTGAAAGATTTGGATTTTTAAAAAGATAATGATTAATAGGAAGAAAGACCAAAGCAGGAGAATAGCAGGGACTTGCAAGAGTCTAAATGAGGGATGGTACAAGCCCTGTTTGAGGCCAAAATACAGGGAGAAGAGGGGAAAAAAAGAGGAATGGGAAAGACATTTTAGAGCCTAAATTCTCAGGACTTGGTAAAATTCTGACTTCAGCATATGGGTGGATGCTGGCACAGTTATCTGAACTAAGGTTCATGGGAGAGCAGCGGTAGGTGTAGGGGAAGGGTTACACTCAGATTTGGATCTTTTGAGTCGGTGGTGGTGGAGTATCTGAGCTGCCTAGGGGAGCGTGGTGACCAGAGCTCAAGAGTCTGGGGATGTGTGCATAAAAGGAACTGATTGTCTTAATTTCTGGTTTTGAAGCTAGATGGGGTTTAGGTATTGTGTTGTTGTTGTTTTTTTTTTTACAGAGGGACTTTGGAGCTTACTCAATTTATTGCCTGACTATTTCTAATCTTTCTAGCCTTTCCCCATAACAGCAATGGAATAAAGCCTTCTCAACATCAGATGCTCCCCTGTTGTCCTGAGTCTTCCCCAAAAGGGGGTGGAATGGACAAAATGGACAAACTAGAAAAGGCACCAATTGTCTCTGCGCCAATCTATGGTGTCTTTTCTCAGGTTGAAAGTGGCTGGTGACCTATGGGATGTTAATTACTCCCTTGGGTCAATATTTGGTTGTCCTCACCCATTTTCTATTGCTTGACTTATTTTTAGGAGGCATTGGCAAGGGGTCAAATTGAGTCCCAGAACTCCATCGGAACCCCATCTGACTTGTAGCATCCTCATCCCCAAATTGGGACTATGTCTTATTATGGTCTCCCCATCACACCCCAGTCTGGCTAGATTCTCTCCAGCCCCTCTCTCCTGAGGCTGTAACATAGAAATGGCTCTTATACTGTTCATTATATTTGACATGCAGTCAGAGTGGTGAAATCTAATTATTTTTTGACACAAGTTCTTTATTTTACTTAGACAAGCAAGATTTGGCACTACTAGAAACAAAAATATTTCTGGGTCCAGATAGTGTGGACCAGTACAAAATGATCCAGGATGTATTTTAAACCAAGGTATTTTTCACTTTCCAGACCCTGGACATAAGTAAGGTCATTATTTCTCTTTTTTAAGAAGAGAAACACTGTAATGATCATACAAAATGGCCCAAAAGTACAACTAGCTAAGTGCGAAGAGAGCTTTGAGAAAGTCTATATATTAATTTAAAAAAAGTCTATATATTATCTTCTGGGTATTTCAGCAGAAAATAATGCTTTCTGGACATTTTAAGCCTACGTGTCTGCACGATAGAACAGGCATAGGTGTTTTATGACGCACTTCTATCACCAGTGTTTTAAATCAATTTCTTTGCTTTCGTTTTTGCTGTATTTGACTTAGAAAATAATAGTCCTCCCAGAGCCCAGGCTGGTGGCAGACATGTTCTTGTGCTTCCCAATAACTCCATTACTTTGGATGGTTCAAGGTCTGCTGATGACCAAGGAGTTGTGTCCTATCTGTGGATCCGGGATGGCCAGAGTCCAGCCGCTGGAGTGAGTACTTGAAGAGAACTGCTCCTGGGCCACTTACCATTACGTCTGTGTTGGTTTGCTAGGGCTGCCAGGGCAAAATACCCCAGACTGGGTGGCTTAAATCACAGGCATTTGTGTTCTCCCGTTCTGGAGGCTGGGAAGCCCAAGTTCAAGGTGCCAGCCTGTTTGGTTCCTGGTGAGGACTCTCTCTTCCTGGCTTGTGTCCTTCTTGCTGTGTCCTCACATGGGAGAGAGAGAAGGGGAGAGAGAAAGCTCTTTGGTATCTCTTCTTACAAGGACACTAATCGTTTGGGATCAGGATCCCACCCTTATGACCTCATTTAGCCTTAAGTACCTCTTTTCTTTTTTAATGGAGGTACTGAGGATTTGAATCCAGGACCTCATGCATGCCAAGCATGTACTCTACCACTGAGCTATTTCGCTTCCTACCTCTTAACAGACCCTGTCTCAAGTAGAGTAACATTGGAGGTTAGGGCTTTAATGCATGAGGCGACACATTTAAGTCCATACCAGTGTCACTGTTATGACCCCATCTCCCTTTCCATATTCCCTGCTAAGGTTATGCTTCTAGGTTTCCTCTGGGGGCTAGAGGCAGGAGCCTGCTGTTCGATTTGAACACACCTGAAACATCTGAAGTCCTTCCTGACTGTTTCCCTGCCCAGACTTTGGACAGGGTCTTAAACCATAGCCTGGAGGGACTTAGAGGCCACGTCTTCTCCTGGGACTCATCCTGCTCCTCAGCTTTCCCATTGTTCCTATTTTGGTCCAAGGATTCTTTCCTGTCCCTCAACATTGTATCAAAAATGCCAACAGATCAAGGATTGCTATTCCCATTTCATAAGTATGGAAATTGAGATGCAGAGATGGAAAGTGACTAGGCAAAGGTCAACTAACTCCTCCTTATGCAAACCAAATAGACCCAGGTTTCTAGCTCCTGGCATGTATTTTTCCCCATTGGATGACTCTGCCTCTTAGGCTGTAAATTTAGGTACATCTCCATCCCTGCTGTTGCTAAGGACTTGAGAGACGCAAGTTTACTCCTGGAGATGTACCAAAGGAGTGGTCACAGGGAAAAAACTGAGAATGCTTTACACTTTCTAAGTACCTCTAGAATAAATACTGTTCAACAAGGTGATAGATTAGCTTCTAAGTGTAATTATAACAACTCCCTGATCAGAGCGCTTGTTACTTGTTACCTTTGGTTACCACCCTCTTCTGTTAGCAAGTTCTGAGCAGGGGTCTGGGAGATTCTTCTCAAATTCTCTGAGCAGAGATGTGTTGTCCACGGTGTTTGGAGCCTTGGCTGACATGAAGCTGTTCTGTGAGGTTTGCTTACCAACTAATTTGCCTTAGGGATCAAACTGTGCAGTACTTTGTGTATTCTGGGATTTTAGCAGTTTTTTTCTTTGCATAATATCAAATTTACCACTGTATGAGTGGAAATTAAACTTTATGTAGTTTGTATATGTTGTAATGTTTCTTCAAATAAATCTCTCCTATAAATTTTTTAGTAAAGGTTCTTGGGTCATTTGAGAAGGTGAACATGATACACACTGAGGACACCCAAGATGAGAGTGTTGTAAAACTATGTTTGAAAATAAGACCCAGAAAACCCTTTAGAGAGGGTGCTTCATCCTCCACATCTTTGCCCTAATTTCAGTGGTTTCCCCCTCTGTGGGATGGAATTTGGTAATTCTGAGAGAGTCCTTAGGATGCTCAGCTCAGGAAGTAGTGTCTGAGGACTGTGCCTCCTGGTGCTTTAGAGGTGGAAGAGATGCTGAGGATTCTCCAGATCTTCAGCTAACCCACCTCCCTGCTTCCTCTTGTGCCTGCCCCTTAGAGGCATGCGTGTATGACAAAGACAGGACACTGAAGTTGAGATCCCCCAAGGCCCAGACATTGGGAACTGAGTGTTGAGTTGTGAACCGGGTTCTTTCACAGGATGTCATTGATGGCTCTGACCGCAGCGCAGCGCTGCAGCTCACCAACCTGGTGGAGGGGGTCTACACTTTCCGCCTGCGGGTCACTGACGGTCAGGGGGCCTCGGACACGGACACCGCCACGGTGGAAGTGCGGCCAGGTAAGCTCCCGGGTTTCTGTGTCTGGGTTTGCGGGGCTGGTCTCTGATCCAGGTGTCAGCCTTTTGGGTCTCTTTGGGGTTGACAGTGGAAATGGTGTGGGAGACCCCCATGGCTTCAGTTCCACGGGTCCCACTTTGAGGCTTTCTCTACACTTGGTTCTCTCTCCCCAGACAGAGCCAGCCTCATCACTCGTTAAGGAAAATTGGATCTGGCAGCAAGAATCCCTTGTCAGTTTGGTTTTCCTGCCAGAAGACAATGTCCTAATGAGAAGCGGACACAAGGGCTTCATTCCTGGGAGCAAGAGGGAGGGCAGGTCCAGGGAGGTGGCCCTACTGACCCCCAGTGTAAACTGGGCAGTGCCCACGCTGCTTGGAGACTAAATTCTCTTTCCAGGCCTGGGGAAGGGTGTGAGGGGCCGAAATTTCAAGTGAGCCCAGAGGCTGATTAGGCACATCTGTTTATCATCTGGAGAAAAATTAATAGACAGTAAGCTGATATAAAATAAGGAAGAAGTACTCACAGACAGTGGTCTCTGTGGCATTTATAAAATTTATCTAAGCCCTAAAACCCAAATGTAGAAGTTACTCATGGATTATCTCTTTTTTAAATATTTAAAAAATATTTTATTTTATTTTTTTTGAAATATAGTTGGTTTACAATGTTGTATTAATTCCTGGTACATAGCATAATGATTCAGTTTTATAAAATATATATATATGTTCCTTTTCATATTCTTTTTCATTATAAGCCATTATAAGATATTGAATATATAGTTCCCTGTGCTTTACAATAGGACCTTGTTTATTCTATATATAATAGTTAGTATCTGCAAATCCTGAACTCTCAGTTTATCCCTCCATCCCCTCCATTACTCCACTAGTAACTATAAGTTTGTTTTCTATGTCTGTGAGTGTTTCTGTTTTCTAAGTAAGTTCATTTGTGTGGGGTTTTTTTTTTTTTGATTCCACATATAAGTGATATCATATGGTATTTGTCTTTCTTTTTCTGGCTTACTTCACTTAGTATGATAATCTCTAGAAATGACATTTTGCTGGAAATGACATTATTTCATTCTTTTTTAATGGCCGAGTAATATTCCATTGTATAAATATATCACATCTTTATCCAGTCATTTGTCAGTGGACATTTAGGTTGCTTCCATGTCTTGTCTATTGTATATTATGCTGCTATGAACACTGGGGTGCATGTATCTTTCCAAATTAAAGTTCCCTCCAGATATATGCCCAGGAGTGGGATTGCTGGATCATATGGTAACTCTATTTTTATTTTTTCAAGGAATCTCCATACTGTTTTCCATAGGTACTGGGCCAAACTACATTCTGACCAACAGTGTAGGAGGGTTCCCTTTTCTCCACAGCAGGGATCACTTAAACTAACTCTTACATAGGCCTTGCTCCTTATATTTCAAATCAAGCCTGTGGTTTCCAAGTGGAAAGCCATGTCCTCTCTCTCCCAGACCCTAGGAAGAGCGGCCTGGTGGAGCTGATCCTGCAGGTCAGCGTTGGGCAGCTGACAGAGCAGCAGAAGGACACCCTCGTGAGGCAGCTGGCAGTGCTGCTAAATGTGCTGGACTCGGACATTAAGGTTCAGAAGATCCAGGCCCACTCAGATCTCAGGTATGAGCTGCACACCAGTGTCACCTGAAGCTATTTGTTTCCTCTCTTGTTCTGTATTTTTCCACATATTTATCCCATTCCTATCTTTTTTTCCCTCAAAGGGCAGCAGTAAGGGCAACATCATTGCAGGTCCTTCCCACGAGTCTCAGTTAATGTTTGCTGATTGAGAATGTTCTGAATGAAGATGTTAAGGGAACATCAGAGGAAGCTGGGTTTTAGTTCTAGTATCATCATAGGGTGTGCAAATGGTCTGGGGTATACACAGGGCATGTCTCACAGCTAGACTTCATCCCTGTCCCATGTTCACGGGGCTGAGACTTCTCTCAGTGTGAGAGGATCATGGATTCTGGGAGTCTATGAGGTTCAACCTCTGCCTTGATTTCTTATAAGATTTATAATTTTAATTAACTTTTTAAAATAAACTCTTATCCAACCTTTGAACAGTAAAAATAAACTCTTATCCAACCTTTGAACAGTAGAGTGGGATGGAAAGAGAGAGAGAGAGAGAAAGCATATGGAAATGAAAAACTACTATTCATAGTAAATCTATTTGCCAGTTATTTCAGCTATTCTGTTGTTTTTCAGATAACTGAAATTTACATAGAAAAATACTAAATTAAGAATAATTATTTTAAAAGAAGTCTTTCTAAAGTGAATCATACATTTCTCTTACTTACAAAATCTCTAACACTGAACCAAACACATGTCTGAAACTCAATAGAACCAAAAGTTGTTTCTTTGAAATATCAACAAAATTGATAAACTTTTAGTTAGACTGACCAAGAGAAAAAGAGAAGACTCAAATTGCTAAAATCTGGAATGAAAGGGGATATCACCACTGACCTTATAGAAATGAAAAGGATTATACTATGAACAACTATATGTCAGCAAATTAGTTAACCTAGTTGAAATGGACAAAATCCTAGAAAGACACAACTTATAAAAACTGACTCAAGAAGAAATAAAAAATTTTAATAGGCCTATAACAAGTGAAGAGATTGAGTCAGTCATCAAAAAACTTCCCACAAACCCAGGACCAAATGGCTTCACTGGTGAATTCTACAAAATGTTTAAAGATTTAACACCACTTTCACAAACTCTTCCAAAAAATAGAAGAGGAAGGAACACTTCCCAATTTATTCTATGAGTCCAGTTTTACTCTGATACCAAAACTAGACAAAGATAGCACAAAAAGAAAATTGCAGACCAATATATATACCTTATGAATATAGAAGCAAAAATATTCAACAAAATACTATAAAAAATGCATTCAACAACTTGCATTTTTATTTGTGTATGTATTTTATTGAGCTATAATTGATATACATTGTGTAAATTTAAGGCATACAACATGTTGATTTTGTATATTTATATATTACAATATGATTACCACTGTAGAGTTAGCTAACAGCTCTCTCACATCACATAATTATTTCTTTTTCTGTGGTGGGAAAAATTAACATCTCGCCTCTTAGTAACTTTGAAGTTTATAATAGAATATTATTGACTATAATCAGTATGTTGTACATTAAATCTCCAGGACTTATTTATCTGCTGGCAAGTTTATACCCTTAAACAACATTTCACCTAAGAACCACCACTCTACCTTCTGTTTTTATGAGTTGGCTTTTTAAGATTCCACATATGAGTGATACTGTACAGTATTTGTGTTTCTCTGTGTGACTTATCTCACTTAGCAAAATGCCCCCAAGGACCATCCACTTTGTCTCGAATAGCAGGATTTCCTTCTTTATCATGGCTGAATAACATTCCATTGTGTGTATGTGTGTGTGTGTGTGTGTGTGTATATATATGACATTTTCTTTATCCATTCATCTGTTGATGGACACTTAGGTTGTCTCCATATCTTGGCTATTATGAATAATGCTGCAGTAAACATGGGAGTACAGATATCTCATTGATATCCTATTCTCATCTCCTTTGGCTATATGCCCAGGCATAGGCTTGCTGGCTCCATCCATCAACATGTTGAAAGGATTAGACACCATGGCCAAGTGGGATTTATCCCAGAAAGGCAGGGTGAGTCAACACATGAAAATCAATAAATATAGTAAATCACATTAATAAAGGACAAAAGCAATGTGATCATCTTAATAGACACAGAAACAGATTTGACAAAATTTTCATGGTAAAAACTTGTAGGTTGAATTGTGCCTCCCCAAAAGATATGTTCAAGCCCTAACCCCTAGTACCTGTGAATGTGACCTTATTTGGAAATAGAGTTGTTACAGATGGAATTAGTTAAGATTAGGTCATACTGGGGTAGGGTAGACCCTTAATCCGATATGACTGTGTCCTTTTAAGAAGAGAAGAGACACAGAGACAGACACATGGGGAGAACACCATGTGATAATGGAGACAGAGATGGAGTGATATATGTCCAAGCCACAGAACACGAACGGTTGCCAGCAACACCAGAAGCTAAAGGCATGGGCTCCCCAGAGCCTTCAGAGAGAGGATGGTCCTGCCAACACCTTGATTTTGGAATTCTAGGCTCTAGTACTGTGGGAGAATATATTTCTGTTGTGTGAAGCCACCTAGTTTGTGGTACTTTTTTATGGCAACATTTGGAAACTAATACAGATTTGAATAGGAATCTATCCAAAGAAGTTATACAAATGGCCAACAAGCACATGAAAAGATGCTTAACATCATTAGCTATTAGGGAAATGTGAATCAAAATCACATTGAGATACCCACTTAACATCCACTAGGATTGCTATAATCTGAAAGACAGGCTGTCACAATTGTTGGCCAGTATGTGGGGAAAAATTGGAACACTCCTACATTGCTGGTGGGAATGTAAATGGTGCAGCCACTGTGGAAGACAGTTTGTCATTTCCTGAAAATGCTAAACATAAAGTTACCATATGACCCAGTAATTCCACTCCTAGATATGTGTATGTATATATATATATATACACCCAAGAAAAGTGATAAACATATGTCCATATAAAATCTTGCATATGAATGCTCACAGTGGCATTATTCATACGGCCAAAAAGTAGGTACATCCAAATGTTATCAATTGATGAGTGGATAAATAAAATGAGATATATTTATACAATGGAATATTATTTGGCAATTAAAAGGAAGGCAGTATTGATATATGCTACAACTTGGATGAACTTTGAAAACATTATGCTAAGAGAATGAAGCCAGACACAAAATGCCTCCTGTGTATTCCATTTATATCAAAAGTCCAAAAGAGTCAAACCCATAGAGACAGAAAGGAGATCAGTGGTTTTCAGGAGCTGTGGACCATGGGGGCTGGGTGCTCATGGGGATGGAGTTTCTTTCTGTGAAAATGTTCTGAAGCTGGATGGTGGTGATGGTGGCACAACTTCGTGAGTATACAAAAGGCCACTGAATTGTACATGTTAGAAGGGTGAATTTAATAAATTATATCATAAAAAAAGGTAAAAATAAAATTGTGTGTGAAAGTTCTCATTCGGTTTCTGGTTGTTTCTGTTGGTCCACACGTACACATTGCTCCTTTTGTCTGAAGATCTGTCATCGCTGAGCTCTGGGGCCAAAGAGCCTTTATTTGGGAGTAGGAACAGATTTGTTCCTTGGTCCACAGAATACGCCCCTCTGTCCTTGCCAAGTCACAGAGCTGTGACAGTCTGTCTTCGAGCTCCACAGGTCAGCTGACGGGAGTGGACGCATCATGTTAGTCACTATCTGACCGTGTGGCTGTCCTCTCTGTCTCCTCTGCAGCACCGTGGTCGTGTTTTATGTGCAGAGTGGGCCACCTTTCAAGGTCCTCAAAGCTGCCGAAGTGACCCGAAATCTGCACAGGCGGCTCTCAAAGGAAAAGGCTGATTTTTTGCTTTTCAAAGTCTTGAGGATTGACACAGTTGGTATGTCCCCTCCAGAAGTATTCTTTTTAAACTTTAATTTTAATTTTTTATAGTTCAAGTAATGTAAATATCTGATTATGTTTGGAACTGGATACCACTGAGCTGGACATCCTAGCCAATTGAATGCAACAAGAGCCTTATAGAAACATTAAGTAACTGCCCAGGTTACAGTGAAAGATTTCTCGGAGGAGGTGAAATATGGTTTGGTTCCAATGTGGCAGGACAGCGGCCAGGACTCATGGTTGTTTTTTGTTTTTGCATTTTAATTTAAGTGGGAATAAATTTCAATATTTAATTATTTTTCTAATTTCTCCATGTCAGCCCCTACAAGAACATTCTAAAAGAATCAGATTTGCTAGTTTTACTGGCACAGAAAGAGGACATGGGGACATCTTCCCTTTAGCAGCCAGAGATTTGTTTTGCATCTATTTCTCCAGTCAGTTTCCTGCAACACATGTTTGCCAACTACGCTTTATCTTTGAGGGAAATCGGATAGAAACAACAGTCATGGTCAGTTTTTAAAACTATAGTCTCACATGCTGGTCATTGTCAGAAATATCATATTTAAATGGTCAGAACACTGTTAAAGACAAGTAAGTGTTGGCTGGAAAAGCCAGGTTTATATAATTTATTGGCCTGGGACATCATGCCTTAGGCTGTGATGATGGTGTTATGTAGACTGTTGAAATTTAAGAGCGCATGCAAGTGCCTTCCAGCTGCACCTCTTAGCCCCTTGCTTGTCACCTCTTCCTGGCACCAAACATATGTGGATGGAAATGTAGTCTTTATCCCAGGTCTCTGTCCCTACCTTATGAGGAACATGAATCCCTTACATTAAAGTGGTCGTTTCAGTAGACTCCGAGGACTGTGAGAGTTACCAGGGACATGATAATATTTGGGTAGTAAAATTTAATTTCTTTCAGATCATCTGTCCACAATTGACTTTCTTTGTAATATGGAATAAACTAATTTTTTAATAATTCATTTTTTTCTAGCTTTAAAAGTAATATTTATTTATTGTAGGAAATTTGGAATATCCAGAAAGATGAAACATTTTAAATAATCCTCTTGATTCTAGAATCTAGATTTCCCACCCCCTAAAGAGAACTTTTTAAATATTTTGATTTTTTCCTTCTTCCCCCGTTTCTAGGAACATTTAATACAATCAGGATAATTGTGTGTGTGTGTGTGTGTGTGTGTGTGTATGCTTTTTAACTTAAAATCATATTATGGTCATTTTCCCAAATCTTTTAAAATTTATCCCTCAATAAGCTATTCACGGCCACGTAGTGGTACATCCTGGATGTGTTCCGCAATTTATGCAACTGACCCTCTACTCACAGACATTCAAATTGATTTAAATAACGCTACAGTGTAGATAAATCTTAGTGCATAGCCACAATCATTTTCATTGGATAAATTTTTAGAATTTATCTTTCTTTTTTTATTTATTTAATTTTTTATTGAAGCATTGTTGATTTACAATGTTGTGTTAGTTTCTGGTGATTCAGTTATACATTTATATATTAAAATTTATCTTTTTTAAGCCAGAGGGTGCTACGTTTCTAGGGCTTTTGTTACACAGCACAGGTATTGGCTTATTCCTGCCATTTGCTTCCCGATGAGATTGTTAACAGAGACTCTTGATTCAACCAGATGCCCTATTCAGGGCTCATGCTATGAAGGGACACGGGTTGAAGCTAGGGACCCACCTTTTCTCTGTGGTGACCTCTGCCCCTCTTGCCTCTTTGCAGGGTGCCTTTTGAAGTGTTCCGGGCATGGTCACTGTGACCCCATCACAAAGCGTTGCATTTGCTCTCAGTTGTGGATGGAGAACCTCATCCAGCGTTACATCCGAGATGGGGAGAGCAACTGCGGTGAGTCCTGGCGTGGGGTGGCCTTGGGCAGGAGCCTTAAGACATCTCTTTCTGAAATGTCAGAAAGATCTGCCGAGCTATGCAGAAATCCAAAACTTTTCTCACCCAAAGGCAAGTGAACCAGCTCACGTGGTGCAGGGTTAAGATCCTCCCAGAGTTCACCTTGGGGGTGTGGTTAAGGCTCTTCCGTGAGACTTCCTGATGAGGAAGCTCACTTTGGCGGAGCAGCTTTGCTCACCATCGCTGGCATTTGCTGAGAAGGTTGCTCTGGGTTACATGGTCCCCCTTTCCGGATGGCTCCTGCCTTGGTGGAGCTGAGTGTGACTTTCTGGGGAAGTGGCCCCTGGTGAGGACCTGCCGGAATCAGGTTGCAAGAGAACTGGCCCACTCTTGCAGGCTGTCTGCCCAAGCAGGTGCCAAAATTTGGAGCTGTTGCCTCAGCCGGCCAAGCTGGCGCCCTTGGGTCTCTTCTGAGGAGGAAACTGTATTTTAATGCCAGTCTTTTTCTAAGAGTAATTTTGTTGTCTTGGGCCTCCAGATGGACATAATTGGCAAAAAAATTTGGAAGAGTTGACTGCCAAATTATGTTCCTACTCTCTACTGCATAAAAAAATTTGAAAATAGCCAGCCCTCAGATCATCATTTTAAGGAGTATGTGTGACATTTAGTAGAGTTAAGCCTTGTGTCTTTGCTGCCTTGTTTTTGTTTTGTTTCTGAGTTGCTGTTGCAAAGCTTATTACACTGGAATTCTGCAGGGATGTGGAAGGAATGAAGATCAGGTCGTTTCTGAGTGGCTGCCTGGCTCTGTGAAGTATCTTCCTGTCATAAATGCCATACAATTACTTCATTTGCTTTGTTCAGACCAGGCCAGAACTATTTTCCAGGTTCTGTGATTCTGGAATGAATATTTTGATGGGCCTTACATGGCTGTTTAAGAGGCCTCCCTTCTTAATTGATGAATCTTTTAGTTTTTTTTCAGATTATTCTTTCTGTTCTCACATCAGCGTGAAGTACGTGTTCCATGAGGCCCCTGAACCAGCTGGGTGGAAAGTAGGCTGGTTTTAAGTCCTTGTGGGTTTATTTGTACTTCACCTTGCTTAGGCTCTGAGACCAGCCTGGCGAGGTGGTGGCAACACCACAGATGGCCTTTGCTTGGAAGGACTCAGAAATACTCACTGTGAGTCACTGAAATAAAGCTGTTTTGCAAGCGGTATGTAACCCGTCTGCTCCTGTTTCCTTGCGTTTCAGAGTGGAGCGTGTTCTATGTGACGATCCTGGCGCTCACTCTCGTGGTGCTAACAGGGGGTTTAACCTGGCTTTGCGTCCGCTGCTGCAGGAGGTACCTGGCATGCTTATTTATTTGTTTGCAATAAAGATGCAGCATTAAATATGATATGACCATTTTAGCGGCTTTTGCTCAGGGTTGTTCACCTGCCAGACTGTTTGACACTCCTTTTTATGAAGACCAACTTGACTTTAAAAGCACTTTAAAATGCCTTCTCCCTCACAAGACATATGTGCCTGGAGAAATGGAATAACACTAGAGGCAGCTTTTTCTCCTTGCAGCTCTCATAGCTTCTAGAAGTTTCAGTGATTCTGTCTCAAATCTAACGTTCTTTTCTGTCAGTCTCACATACGGTCACTAGCACACCACCTAAGGGGCCTGACTAACCTGCCTTCCGTAGACAAAGGAGTTCTAGAAGTATACTGATACAAATGGTAGGTTTGCATATTTTACTTATGTGCAGCAACAATCTAATCTCCCCGAATTCTAGTTTATAAACGCAAAACTTTAAGTGAAGTGATACCATCACCAAAGAGAAGTTTTGCTTTAAGTTTTTCCTTTGTTTTCCTCCCTGCCCCTGCCCCGCCCCCCGCCATGGAGCTGACCTCTGAGAAACTCCAGAGCTGCCTAATTGTTTGAACCTTCCAGAACCCCATGCCTGACCCTCTGTGAGGAGATTTGTAGGGACAGTGATTCTGCAAGCCTTCAGAAGACAGCATTGGGCCCACTTTCATATGTGAAACTCTGTGAATGCTCTCCAAAGAAGACATGATTAAAAAAAATAGTAGTATACCATAATAATAGTTATTTTTCAGAGACCACTCATAAAGGATTTTAGGTTTTTTTGTGGTTACTTTTACAAAGGTAGGCCTGGGGAAAGAGAGTCCCGGCACAGGCACTTAGAGGCCCACCTTCCATTAAGATTTCCCAGAAGCATCTGGGATGACAGCCACCCTGCTGTGCTTGGCTTCAGAAGTTCTGCAGCTTTGGGACACATGTATCAGGTTGATAACGGGAGGGGGAGTTACTGGCTGTGAACACCTGTTAAGTATTTGCCATTGTGATGAATGGCTTGAAGTGCTTTCCATGTATTGTTGTGTTTGTTGTGTTTAGTCCTCCTAGCAACCATATGGGAAAGGGACTATTCTTACTCCCATTTTACAGCTGGGAACATGGAGTCACCAAGGTCACAAAAAAATGACCTCCAAGTCATCCAGCTAGTAAACCCAAGGTTAGACGCCCCTGCTCTTAATCACCAAGCTATCAGAAAAATGCCTTTGTTTGTTCTCCACACATCTTACCATAGTTCTGATGTGTATTTTTCAAATGATCCTCTGACGCCTAGGATGAGGTACATAGGATTGTGTTGTGAAAAGATGAAAGCCTGGGTTGTTGCTAATTCATCTGGGGAATTTATTATAATCTCTGTTGGTTTTCTTTCTGATGGCTAGTTATGTTATCTCTTCATTACTGCATCTCTGGACGTCCCAGGGTAGGATAAGTTCAGGGGAAAACTTGCTTATCCAGGTTTTTCTCAGGAAGGAATTACTCGTGAAGAAGAGCTTGCAGGGCCAACACACAGGAATTGAGAGTTGCTGGAGAGGCTTCTGGCACCTCGCCTGGGGCTTAGCGGAAGGCCTGCAGTTAGGTGGGTGATGACAGTGTGGCCGTTCTCACTCTGACGTGTGATGCGTGATGTATCTTGGACACAGTGAACTCAGACCTGGCTGTGCACACTTACTGTGAATAAAAGAAGAGAACGTAATAACATCCTGAAGGCAAAACATTTCCTGTAGTGTCCTCCCTGAGTTTTAAACCTTGGATCCCAGTTACCTTTCTGAGAATCTGAGTGGATTTTTTTCTTTGTTCTTTTCAGACGAAAAAGGACTAAAATAAGGAAAAAAACAAAGTACACCATCCTGGATAACATGGATGATCAGGAAAGAATGGAGCTGAGGCCCAAATATGGTAAGGCAGCCTCCAGGATGGTTTCCTGGTGCCTTTACAGGAAGTGATCCAGGTGACTGAGAGTCACCTTGAGAGATGGGAGAACAGCGAGCTGGAGGCGGTGCTTTAACTGGGAAAGAAGAGTGGGGCTGGGATTCCGTGAAGCAAATCAACTTACGTTAGTGCCGGGGATATGCTAACTAGGAGGCGATAGCGGTGTTACGCATTTAATGAAATTTTGGCAAAGGGCTTTGAGGCGTGAATGAGTGGAGGGTTAGGAAATACATCTTACCGGTCGGACACGTACCAAATGACCCCAGAAATCAGACTGCTTTTCAAACAGGTGTCCCCAGTGCCTGGCTTTTCTCTCCCCGTGGTTGGTGGATGTGGGCCTGGGAAACTGTGTCACCCAGCTCACCGCTGAACGCTGTTCCCTTTAGGTCTGCCGCACACAAAATGCTGCAAACTAACATTTGGACTTCAAAGATTTTCCAGCAGCTGCGTTAGCTAATTCGCCACATACAGAAATGGACACAAAAACTTTCATAGCAAATTGACTTGCTTCACCATGTGAATGGACCCCTATGCTTAGAACTCCCCCTCACCCGGTTACCTTTCTGAATTCTCACTTATTAACTCTGGGAGACTCTCTGAACCCTCTCTCGCCCTCTGAGGCTGCTTAGCACTGATCCTCTGGATTTGTCATAGTTCTAGATTTATGACTAAACTCTTACAGAGGGGGGAAGGCATAGCTCAGCAGTAGAGGGTGTGCTATACATGTGCAAGGTCCTGGGTGCAATCCCCAGTGCCTGCATTAAAATAGACAGACAGACAGACAGACAGACCGACTGACCTAATTACCTCCTCCCACCCCCACCCCAAAAAAACCCGAAAAACAAAGCTGGAATAAACTAATTCTTATGGAGGACTGTAATCACTTTCAGAGCTGTGAGATGCGAAACACTGTCCATAGTCAATGTTGAGCGTCCCCCCTCTGCACAGACCCGGGTGAGGCCCTAGGGACAGGGGAAGAATGAAGCACAGGACCTGCCTTTACAGTCGCCCAGAGCCCAGGGGAGGATACTTACACCGGAGTTTGGGGTCCTACAGAAGCAGGGATGATGCCCTGTAGGAACCCAGGGGCCAGAGTGACTGGCTGTGTGTGGAGAGTGTAGTCCGGGGCTTGGCAGGGAAAGCTTCTCAGGAGATACGCCTAACAGCGTACATTTACTGAGTGCTCGGCGCCTGTAGTTAAGAGCAGAGGTATTAAAAAGCAACTTCATACCTAAGAGCTCAAAGTGCTTTTCATTGCATTATCTCACCCACCTGCCTCCTAAAATATATGTGCCCTTCTGACAGTACTGTTCCCACTCACTGGACCCCCGTGCTCCCCATTACCAGGCTCTAAACCCCAGACACTGGTGCTTGGTCGGGGTGCCTTGTCCCCACTTCCACCACCCATCCTGCCTAGTCTCTTGCCCTCTTTCCTCATTGTTCTCACGAGCACTGCCCTAGCTCAGATCCTTACAGTCTCACCTCTGGACCAACAGTAACATTCAGAGTAATAGTTAACAGATGTTTAATATCTACTAGGTACGTGTACTCTACCCGTGTAATTCCCATCCTACCAGCAGCTCTATGAGAGATGTACAGCATCACCCCCATTTTAAAGAAGGGGAAACTGAGTCACACAAAAGGTTAGTGACAGAGCTGCTGGGTGCCAAAGGCGATGGGACAGGCCATCTGCCCCCGAGCCTGGGCTCCATCCACACTGTCCCACTCCAGGTGTGCAGCCGGCTCCCCAGTCGCCTCTCTCTCTCTCTTCCTTCTGCCCTATACACTGAACTTAGTTTATCTTGAAACAGCATTTTAATTGTGTCCCTCCTTTGCTGATAGGATAAAATGCGAACTTCTTGGCTCACCTTGGATTCATGTGCTTTTCTGTGAAGTCCCAGCCCCTCTCTCCAGCCTTTCCTTTATTATTTCCTCCATGAATCATTTGCTCCAGGCTGTTTTTGGATACCTCTGATACCTCATGCCCCTCTTCTCCTCCGTCCAAATCCCTCACTCTTCAAATCCTATCCTATGTGAAACATCATGGAAGCTTATAAATGTGTCCTTATCTCTTCTTGATCCATGTAAACTTTGTTTTTAAAAATCTCTTGCCTGTCATGAACCATCTCCTTGTGAGTCTTTGTCTTACATTCTTAGCTAGACACTATAAATTCTTTGAGAGCAGGGATTATATTTTATATATGCCCCTTCTCTTATTTTAACCCTCAGCAATCAATTATTCTACTGAAAATGTTCAGTTGGCCCAAATGATAAAATCATAACAGTTTTCATTTATTGAGTGCTAAATGCTGGACAAGAGCTTTGCGTGTATGAGTTCCCTTAATCCTCACCATAAACCTGTAGAGTAGATGCGTTGTTATCTCCTAATTTAATAGATGAGGGGACTGAAAGCCCAGAGAATTTAGGTACCTCCACCGGGGTCACACAGCTGGTAGGTGACAAAGCTTGGGCTCAAGCTTAGGAGTGATTCCACAGCCCCTGTTAATGCTCTTGAGGAAACTCTAACCGCCTGCTGCTTTGGGAGTGATACCTTTGCAGGTGCAGAGCACGTGACATTGTGCATGGGACCAGAATGATGGACAGCTGGGAGGGAAAATGCCATTACCCACAAGATACATCTGTCTGCTTCTCCCTAGGTATTAAGCACCGAAGCACAGAACACAACTCCAGCCTGATGGTGTCCGAGTCTGAGTTTGACAGTGATCAGGACACAATCTTCAGCCGAGACAGGATGGAGCGAGGGAATTCAAAGGTTTCCATGAATGGCTCCATCAGAAATGGAGCTTCCTTCAGCTATTGCTCAAAGGACAGATAATGGAGCGGTGGTGAAACAGAAGGACACCCACAGGAATCCTTCAGGACAGTCAACGGGAGTTCAAAATCCAAAACTAACTCTTGTTAGAATAGCGCGTTCATGTCCCTTCACACTGGGCTGGAGGTGTGTGCGGTATTTTAAAACGCCTGTCTTCTTGGAGTTTTCGAGACACAGAACAAAACTAAAACATTGCTCTTTTCACTGAGATACTCATTAATAGGAATAAAGGTTAGGTAAGACGCTAGGTATACACGTAAAGGAGTTCTGTGTTTTTGCAGCTGGTGCAGTGTTATATTCCTCTGTTAGGGTAAAAATTAATGCCTGCTTCTATCTGCAGACCCTCAGGGAAGGGGAGTTAGATGTGGATGTAAAGAGGGCTGATTTCTCTTAGGAGCTGTGATTGCCTTTAAAGACGACTTGCCAAGTGTGGTTTCTGTCCTAGGACCCTTTGAGTCCGAGGGCTGTGTGTATTAAGATCATTTATATGAGGTATGATTTGTCCTCTATCCAGTCTTTTCTGTACTGAAAAGACACCTGTACAGAGCCAAGCTGTCCTGTTCTCACTACTTTGCTACTGCCAACCATCTGTGCTCTCTGCAGAGAGCAGCTCTTGTAAGTTTAAGAGCTAAATAAGAATTGTATTCTGAGGACCAGAGGCAATAGAAAGGGAGATGGGATGTCATGACTTATAAGTGGAAAGTTGAAGGTAGCAGTTTAACATATTTTACTTTTTCTTGCTTCAAGAAAAGTAGACTTCACAGAGGCCTCTCTCAGCCCCAGTTTTCATGAAACACAAGAAAACTGATTCTTAATTCTTAGACATTTATTATGTGCTACAGGCCATGCATTTGGACCTCCATCAACAGGAAAATAAGGACTTAGCAACTTTGTCATCTATACAGTCGGCCCTCCGTATCCGTAGATGGGGGACCTGCAGGGATGTGGGGCCCGTGGATGCAGAGATGGGGAGGTAGGGGCAGATAGACTGTATTCCCAAACTTGGAAATGCCATCAGTCTTAATGAGGATGGTATGCTTATGATACTCGGCCCCTACATTCCCTAATAACTTGACATAGACATAGACATTCACTTCAGATGTTTAAAAATATGCTTATTAAATCATTTTTCTACTAAATATCTTATTTTACATATACAGGAAAAAATCCCCAACCGCAAAGCAGCATCCAACAGCGATGAACTGGAGTTAATTACAGCCTGACAAGCCTGAGGCTGGGGGCCCTTGGCATGCTTTGTGGGGAGCTTAGAATGAGAGGTGGGGCTCATCACAGACAGAGCCAGTGTTGTGACATCAAGCAGGACCACACCTAAGCAATATTCTGTTGCACAAGCTTCTGTCACACGAGGAGAAGACTAGGATCGCTTTGTTGTGATTAGGTGGAGAAGCAAGGAGGTTGAACCATCAGGTTTAAATCCTCAGGACAGGACAAGAGAGAAAATAGTTCCCATGGGCCACTGAAAAAGAATTAAGCTTTTAGGTGCTTTTGTTCTCGCTGCTAATAATTCATCCTGATGAGACCGTCTTACTTTTAATAATTCTACTTTGTGGGGAATGGCAGAAGTAAAAAGCCTAGGAGTGCAATACTATCGATGGTGTTGGGAGGAAAATACGATGCTTTTTTCACCAATATTTAACTTCATAGACTTACAGTTTGCCCTTTCCAGTGGCCAGGGTTGTTATTTTTGTGTACAACTGGAAATTTCTGGCATAAAGGATGGCAGCCCACATATGAAGTCAGCAGAGAACAGTGATGGAGAAGGGGGGGTGATCATGTGTTAAGTACTATGTACATATATATTTTACATACTCAATTGATCCATATAGTCAACCTTGAAAAGTAGATATTATTATTCTTATGTGGCATGTGATGATCTGAAGGCCCAGAGTATAAGTAACTTGCTCACAGTTACAGCCAATTAGCAGGGCATTTAGGAATCAAATGTACATTTTTGAAGCTACAAAGTCCAGGCTTTCCACTCTCCTCCCCTACCTACACAAATAACCTCCACCCTCATCTGTTGGATGAAAAATTCTGGTGGACTTTTCAGACCACTTGGAAGTTCTGTTCCTAGGATCAAGGATTCCCTTTGTGAAGAGGGCAAAAGACCAAGGCAGAGGAGCCTCCCTCACCTCCCCTGCTGGGTCACTCCCAGGCCACCCTCTAGGTTGCCAAGTGTTGCTTCTGCCTTTGTCCCCCAGCCTAGCCGGTCTAATCCTTCCACCACAGCTAGACCTTGAACCTAGGGTGGTCAAAAATAACACCATTCCAGTGATCAGAAAGTGGGGCCTCTCCTGTTACCCTACTTACCACCAGAGCATGAGGTCGACCAGAGGCCAGTATTCTTTTTTTTTTTTTGGAATGAAGAAACTATTTGGCGCTGGTAGAAAAGACAAATAATGGCCGGCTCCAAACAGAGATCTTCTGCGGACCAAGGCGGGGACAGCTCACCAGTATTCTTCTCTTGTGCATTTTCCATTAAGGGCTTTGGGAAGAGGAAGCTCTCCAGGAGCTTTGGATAGATAAGAAAAGCAGGGCTGGGAGAGGGTGTTGGTAGGACCTACAGGTTAATAAAACTCTTAGTTGCTGGTTAAGACTCGAAGGAGCATTCAAACCATGGTACGAAGAGGCCAAGCACCTTTATGACTGAAGAACCTGCTGACCAACACGCAGTTGGTAAGAAGACGTACCAGGCGTCCTGCCACTGCTGCTACCTGTGTGGGCGGGGAGGAGGGTGAGTCCTGTTCTTTGTGTGTGTGAGGCCGAACCATCATGGATTTTGGCTTGAGTCTTGGTCTCATTTTTTTAATGTTATCTTTCCCCCATGTATTGACAAGGGATCATTTCTAGCATAACACTATTAAACCTATGTGCTGACCTACATGAAGGTGTCTGTGTTTTCTGGAATGTCTCCTTGCTGTTGTGGGATGGGGTGGGGTGGGGGACTCTTATTCTTTATGCTTCTGTGTAGAGGGACTTCCCTGGAGCAGAAGGCAGCAGACTGGTCCACCGCCTGTTTTTGTGCAGCTGATGAGCTAAAAGTGGTTTTCACATTTTCAAATGGTTGAAAAAAAATCTTATTTGTGACACCTGAAACTTACATGAAATTCAGATGTCAGTGTCCGTAAATAAAGCCTTCTTGGAACAAACGCACACTTGTTTGTGCTACAACAACAGGTGAGTAGTTTCTACAGAGACTGTGTCCCAAGCCTAAAATATTAACTACCTGGCCCTTTACAGAAAAAAATTGCTGGAGTCTAGAGTAACACCCGTGGATTCCTCCTCCAATGGGAGAGGATTTGAGAAGGAACTGAGCTTAGCTCTGCCTGTCCTCTCCCCCCTGCTTAGACTGGCTGCCTGCCAGCTACCAAAAGGGCACATTCCCCTGGCCTCTCTGACGTTCATGGGCAGTCTACCTCCTGCTGGAAAATGCCTACAGTTGTGAGAGTTGCAAATTAAATTAAGGGGAGTGTGTACTTAAACTGCATCCCCTAATCTAGTTTCTATCAATAATAAAGCTGACGTCATGTTTTCCATCTGTGTAACTCTTGCATGGAAAAACTTGTGAAATTGGCCTAAAGCCTCTACTTACAGTATGTACTTCTTGGTTTTGATATTGTGTTAGTTATGTAAGATGCTAAGCACTGGAGGAAGCTCGGTGAAGGGTACATGGGACTCTCTTACTTCTGCAACTTCCTATGGACTTGTAACGACACTCCCCCGCTGTACCCGCAGACGCAGAACCGTGGATTCAGAGGGCCAACTGCACTATTTTATATCAGGCACTTGAGCATTTTTTTCCATCCTCGGGGGTAGTGGACCCAATGTTCTGTGGATACTGAGGGATGGCTGTATTTCAAAATAAAAAATCAGACAATGTTAAGGTTCATGACTAACCGCGAAATCCTAGAAGCATTTCCATTAAAGTCAGGAACAAGTTTTTTAAAAAAGGAAAACCACCATTCCTCCTACTGAAGCCTCCCTTTTAGAGATGAGTTTAGCAAATGGCCAAATTTGTTTTATTTGAAGCCTCCGTGGTGAGTATTATTACCTCTGTGCTCCTGAAGATGAGCCCAGAGTTGCAGGGCTGTCAGCCCGACAGGAAGAAAGCACACAGCCTTACATCATCTGACAGAACGCCCGAAAAAACGTCCACGGCCACTAAACCACCGGGACAGCAGTGTTGTCTGTGATCTAAACTGTGGCTGCTCTGTCCTGGTTAGCTGATAAAATGGATGCATTATGGGTAGATTTATAGAGCATCGATTTCCAAACCCATTTCCACTCAGTTATAAATAGCACACAAATGGAATATGCCCATAGCATCTCAGCCCTCAGACTGAGACAGACCTGCTCTTATTCCAGACAGGTTCCCCGCATTGGATAAATAAAAAACCACACTAATTTGCGTTTTAATTTGATGCCAGCTAAATCAGAGACGAAGCATCTGAAACAGGTGAAAATTTAGTGACAGAAAGAAATAGTAAGAAGATGAAAATACACTTGCTTATAAGCAGAGGCCTAGGCCAAGGGTGTAACAAACCCACAAAATATGAGTGTGAAAAATAAACAGAAACCTCGATTAAATGGTGTCGGGAGACCAGAAGGGGGCGCTCTCATACCCATGGTGATAGCTGAGTCCAAAAGGAGGAAGACTCTTCTTTCCTGGCAAAGACTCAGTCCAGGAAAAGCCATGGACTCTTTGTTGATTACAGCACCCCCAACCCCACCCGCTCCCCCAACTTCCTTTTCTTTCCTTTAAAGTATTCTTCTTCCCTTGCTGTGTAGGGACTTGCATGTGGCTTGACATGGTTGCAGACTCCAAACTGCAGTTCTCTGTTCTTCCTGAATAAACCCATCTTTGCTGGAGAAACACCTGGCAGCCTATATATTTCAGGTCAACAAGAGGTAAGTGGATCATTTCTCCTGGTAACAAACAATTTTTAAAATCAGAAGCAGGTTAAGAGAAATGCATGGAATAAATGGAATGACAAAGGGAGATGTGTATCCTGTGACACTATTTTTCTTCCAAAGAAAATCTTACCTTTGTTCAAGGCCCACTGAGGCAATTCAGATTCAGTGAGGCCACATGAAATTTCTTAAAATAAATGAACACTGGATGAAAGTATGACATGTTTTTTAAAAAATAATTAACAGTGACTATATCTGAATAGCAGGGTTTCAGAAAATTCCTCCCTCATATATTTCTGTATCAAAACCCCCCAAACTTTGAAAAAAGTCCACAATGGATAACGATGGCAGACGTAGAAAAGAGAGACTGGTGAATTTGAGAATGCTGGTGTATACTTTTCTCGGGTAGCAACACCTGCAAACCAGGTCAATTCTCAGTTTAGTTCAGCAAACATGTAATGAGCACGAACTAGGGGACAGGTCCTTCTGTTTGGAGGTGCGAGGGTCCAAAACTTCACAGGCTCCAGGGGAGCCACAACTAGCCGTTATTAGGGAAGGGAGCACCATTTCCACATGCAGGAGAGGAAAAATAATGTTCCCTTTACCTTTCTGAGTTCTTGGCTAAGACCGCTGTAATAAAGGTTAGCGAGAGAAAAACAGAAGTTTATTAACATGTATACCTCATGTGTACACAGGAAATACTCAGGGAAAAATGAGTAACTCAAAGAGATGGCTTAAAACTCCAGCTTACATAGCATCTTCAACAAAAGAGTAATAGATCTGGAAAAATGGTGAGACAGAGGAAAGCAATTGCAGGCTTTCAAGGGCAGAGATAAAGGCTAGTTAGAAAAATTTGTCATTTAGATTGCAGGCTGATTGGGCCTGAGGTTGTCTCGGAATTAACCTTTGTCCCTCCCTCCTGATAGAGAGGGGAGGGGGCGCGCACCTTTGTAAATTTGGGTCCTGCTTTTAGGCAAATGGAGGGGGAGGGGAAAGTAGAGAGCTTTTCTTGTATCTGCTTCTTAATTACCTTCTGCTCACAAAAATCCTTATGCCACAGTGGCGTATTTTGGGGTGGCATGTCCTGAACTCCTACAGTCATATTTTGGGGTGGCATGTTCTGCTGCCCTTCATACATTCCCAAACTGGTCTAGTAATATCCAGAGTAAACTCAAATGATGAACTGGCAAGGAAACACCCACAAACCAGAAACCTTGACACAGCAACAGGAAATTCTCTTAATTCCACATTTATTAATTACACACACACACACACACATCTCTGCTGACAAGACACTGACACAAGTATACAGTTATCAAAACCTGGAAAAATGAGTTACGGGCACATGCTTAAAAAGCAAAATATTTCCACACTTCTCACTACACTTACTCTCAAGTGTTAGCCCATAAATTATGGCATGAAAAAAATCACAGCATAGATATTATTCAAGTAAAATGCTATCTACCATAGCTGCCCACGAATAATTACAGCCCTGGGCTCCAGCCATCAGAGAAGGCAGTCCTGTGGCTTCTAAAGGCAGTTTAAAGTTAATAATATAAGTTTACAATAAAATAGATTTATTCACATTGTGCTTCTGATCTATACTTTCATCGAGTCTTTCCATGAAAATAAGGGTAGAAGAACGAGCACTTGACATAAAATGGTATTTAAAAGCCACTCAAATGGTTAAAGATAACAGGTACAGATGAGCTTTTAAAATGAGAATCCTCCATAGCTGGGGAAAGTAAATTGAGAAGTGTTTTCTCAAGCCCAATAGACTCCTGTTAACTGAGTGATTTTATCTGAGTTACGTGATAATTGCTGGGAAGTTCTTGGTGAACTCACTGGAGTAAGGCCGTGAAAAGTACTTTTGACACAGTAGGTGTTCAATAAAATGAAATAATGCCTCATAAATGTGGGCAAGTCAGTATCTCCCTCTTGGTCTAGCTCAGGGATTGGCAAACTATTTCTATCAGGAACCAAAGAGTAAATATTTTAGGCTTTGTGGGCAACACTGTCTGTGTTGCAAGTATCCAGCTCTGCCAAGAAAGTAGCCATAGACCATATGGGAAATGAATGGTTATGGCTGTGTTCCAGTACAAGTTTATTTATGGACACTGAAATCTGAACTTCATATAATTTTCATGTGTCATGAAATACTATTCTTTTGATTTTTTTCCCCCAACCATTTGGGAATATGGAAAAACCATTCTTAGCTCTGGGTTATACAAAAGCAGATGGCAGGCTGGATTTGGCTTGTGGTCAATCCCTGGTCTAATGGTACTTTTCCACTTCATATTGTAACATACATTTAAAAAAATCCATCATATATGGTTACCTTATTGAAAGGTACCCCCCTAAATGTTTATTTAAAAATATTTCTTATTTCCCCACGACCAAGAACAATTTTACTAAACTGTCAGCTATTTCCTTTTCAAATTATTTTAATTCCAAAATTAAGCAAAGATATTGTGATGAGTCTTGGGCCTCCATGTACGTACCTGGTGAGCCACATATATGAAAAAACTCAAAATCTGTCACGCAGCCAAGGCACCCACTGGCTGACAAAGATACAAGCGTATTTGAACGTATTCCTCCAAACATTCCAAGCTATCAGTATTCCAAACTTCTTTTGTTTTTTAAAGAGATTGTGTTTTTTACTTATTTTTCAAAAGAGGATGAAGTTTGATGAGAGAGGATAAAGTTTCTTTTTTTTAATAGGATAACTTCAGATTTATTTTTTCTAATTATTTTGGGGGTGTTAATTAGGTTTATTTATTTATTTACTTATTTTTTAAATGGGGGTACTTGGGATTAAACCCAGGACCTTGTGCATGCTAAGCATGTGCTCTACCACTGAGCTATACCCCCTCCCCAGAATTCTAAAAACTAATGTTAGAGCATTTTTATTGTTAATAGACTCCCCAGAGCATCCACAGAATGTCAGTGGAGTCTGCACACAGAGTGAGTGGAAAGGAAGGGGCTTCATCCCCGTCTGTTCAGCCAGGAACAACCCTTATTCCTTTTCCTCGTGTCTCAGGATGGATGGAGACACACAGTACAGAAATGCCTAGAATTTTCCTAATCAGAGCTTTTCCTTCGGAATGACAGGAAACACCAGCCACAGTGCTTTTGTTTTTGTTTTTACACGATGAACTAAAAAAACTTTTATTGGATAAAAGGCGCCTGAAAGACAAAACCTCATGCCTCTTCTAATAGGCAGTTGTGGGAATTCTTTTTCCTTTCACTGTGGTGGAAGTGCTTTTGCAGGTGAAGGAGCAGCATCCCACGAAGACAGTGAAACCAGGCTGCAGGTGACAAGCCCTCACGCAGGCTCAGGGGGTGGGCAGGTGGGTACTGGCCTCCCCTCAACTTTGGCAAAGCGGGGCTGGGCGGGCTGCTCATGTAATAATGGCTTCTGTACTTACATCGAATTTTCATTTTTTGGCAAATACTTTTGCTTTGTCTGAGGCTCACAACATGCCACTGAGCTACAGAAGGCATGCATAACGTCTTCACTCTCCATGGGCGACGGGGGCTGAATGGCACGCACGTCCATGGGAACACAGCCCCTGCTCAGTCACGTGTGTGCTGTACATCACCCCAAGATGTCGCTCCTGTGCTTTGTTTTATGCTTAGGCTCATTTCCAAGGGAAACAAAATGAAGACAGGGTAGAAATGAGAACAAAATCTTTCAGCAGTTAATTTAAGATGATGAAGACTTCAATTTTAAAAAATGATCCAGAAAAAGGGGAAGGGGTTCCTTCATTCCACAAGGAAACACAGGCAGTTCTGTGCTATTTCTTCTGAACTCTTAAAAAATGATTGATTCAGCCTCTGCAGCAACACCTCTGAACACCCAGCAAGTGTTGTGTTGAGCTGGCAGATTGCCAGGTTGCTGTATACCCCCGACCAGCCTGTCAGTCCCACTCGGGGTCTCCCCTGCAGGCCTCTGGGTCTAAGCTCTGGAGCCACGTGGGTGATGGCTGTGTCCTTGCTCGGGCAGTGACGGGCTGCAGGGGGCAGCCGCCCTCACACTGCACCTTGCTCTGAGGCAGACAGGGTGGGGTCCAGGGCTTCATTCTGTGAACCCAGTGCTGCTTCTTGGGCGGTCTGCAGCCACAGGCACATGGCATATATTGGTCCCTAGTCAGCTAGCGGGATGGGGTGACATCCATATCTGTTTAAGATTATGACAGTCAGATAAGCTTTAAAAAGTTCCTAATTCAGATACCCCAATGAGTTTATTTAAAATAATGGTTGGCATTCCCCCTAGATGTAGGTAAGCTTCCTCTTTTATTTTTTAAAGAACTAAAGAATCCTACAAGCCTCCCAAGCACACGTACTTGAGTTCCAGATACTCGTCGATGCCGTACTTGGACCCCTCTCGCCCAAGGCCGGACTGCTTCACCCCACCGAAAGGGCACTCCACGGAGGAGATCAGCCCTTCGTTGACGCCAACCATGCCGACTTCCAGGCGCTCTGCCACTCTCCAGATCTGTGCTGGGTCTTGAGAGTAAAAATAACCTGTCGTGGGGATAAAGGACAGATAGCTTGTAGAACAGTCATTAAAGATGTCATGTCCGCAGCTGAGGGTGCCACTGCTGACTAGTCACTCGGGTCTGGAGTCCTCTCTGCCCCCAAGTAGAGACCCTAGTCCGTCCTGTCGGTTTCTTCATCTCAGAACTTTTGGAAAGCATCCTTCTGTTCCACTCTTGCTAGCATCTCACTGTCTCCCATCAGGACTGTCACAATGATGAACCCAGCTGCTGCTGTCTCCTGTGCAGTCTGTGCTGCACACCTCTGTCAGATGACCCATGTGATACCTCCTCCCAAACCTTCCAGTGACCCTTTGTTACCTATACAATAAGGTGGAATTCCTGGTGGGTATTTGAATTATCTCTAATGTAGTTTCAATCAACACTTTCAGCTTTACCTTCCATTACTCCAGTCACCAACCATCTTCTCTCAGCTCATCCACCCACTTCTCCTTGTCCTATCTTATTTAACCGCGTCACTCCGTTGGTCCCCCTCTGCCCAGAATCTCTCCCCAGATCTCTGCACAATCAGAACTCTGCCCATCACGGATGACCTGGTTCAGAGGCGTGGCTTCCTTCACCATCATCCCACTGAGAAAGGATGAAGGGAATTCTGATCACAGGGTTATGAGGGCACTGGTGCACACATCTTACTGCAGCTTTAGGATAACTCATTGAGGAGGCAGCATGGGCTAAGGGAGTCCACAGGTGCACACCCTTCCTTCCATAATCAGTAGTTCTACACCCAGAGGGGAAGCTCCTATAGGGCCACAGCTGTATCTTTATGTCTTTGTATCTTCGTCAGTACTTCGTTCACTGTGGGTGCTAAATACAGCTTTGCTGAGTGCATTTATGCCCACAGAATTTTGTCAGGGTCATAGGGGACAGACTGTAGCCACCCTGACTGTTTCCAAACTAAAAGAATGGCGGCCGCTCCGTGAGGCTCCATCTGCTGTGCCCTCTCTGCCCCTTTCACTGCCCTGACGCTCTCTGCCGAGTACAGCGCTTCCTCTTCTGCCCAGGCTTCCAGGAGCCACGCAAAACGGGAGAAAGCACGTGGAATTTCCAGGCATCTGAGAACGTGGGACTTAAGGGGTGCGTGGGATTCTCCACCCGCAACAATCTGCCCTGCCTCTTCTCCCAGCACCACCGCCGCCAGCTCCAACCAGGGAGCTCCCACACCTGTGTCCCGGGGACAAGGCAAAAAAGAACACGGACTTGCACGAACCCACCTTCACCCCTTGGAAAGCAACAAAACATACGGTCCAATGAAGTTTCCTTCTCAAAACCCAGGGCAATGTTTAAAAAGTAAACTCCGGTGTCAGCTCGAGAAGTGATTACTATCAAGGATGAACAGTTACCTGCCAACCCGACGTCAGTTGCGTTTGCGATCGCCACGGCTTCCTCCTCTGTATCGAACCTGCCAAAGTCAAGAGGGGTCATCAGCAAAATCCCAAAGGGGAGAGTAAGGAAAACAGACATGTTTCCTCCTAATTTGTCTCCCAAATAACAGCAAGAAGTAAATCGAACTTTTGCAAAGAGTACAGAGGAAAAACACCATCATTCACCGCAAGCATGCAGAGTTCAAGGCTGGTGATCTTGGATCAACACTGGTTCATCTCTTCTAAGAGAACAGGAGACACGCAGGGAACTGTGTATTCAGAATGTCGAACAAAATACCTTAAGAAAAGGATGACTGCTCTTGCTACCAAGCAAATGTAACAATCATAACAACTGCTTTAGAAGCAGCCACAGTAGTAGAAAGGAAGAATCCAGAGGATGCTGGGACCCAGGGTTCTAATGTGGGGGCCACACTCATGCTGCTGGACAGTGTGACAGTGCTGGGCGTCTGTTCCCCTTGGAAATGAAAGACTGGTAGGATGGAAGCTCTGTGCAGTCTCTTCCTGCTTTATCATTTTCTTTTTTAAAAAAAAAATTGGGGGGGATGGTATTTAGGTTTATTTATTTGTTTATTTTGATGGAGGTACTGGGGATTGAACCCAGGACTTCATGCATGCTAAGCACACACTTTACCACTGAGCTTTGCTCCCCTCCCCACTCCATTCATTTTATTTCTGGAACAAGATTTCAGAGGCTGTTTTCTGTTGCCCCAGAATTATAACTGGGGGCCAAATGTCCTCCGCACCCCAGTTCCTCAGCTCGGAGACCCAGCAGCAGCGTCAGCCAGCCATCTCTCTGAAGGCACCGGGCAGGGCTGGCAGACTCCAGTCAATGCAAGAGGAAGACTGGAAGAGAAGCAGAGAGCTCCGGGGGAGGCGGGGTTAGGGAGCATCACCAGCTCTGTCTCCCTGGGCTTGTCTCTCCACCCATACAGAGCAAGCCATTCCATTCGCGGGAGAATAGAAAACAGAGCATCACCCATGTCCTCGCTCCCCACCTGTCCCTCCAAAGTGCAGTAATCACATCATCAGCTGTGACACCACTGAGGATTTTCACCTTTTGGGTATATGTGCTAAGATCGGAGCTGTGCTCTCACCATCCTGTGTCCCAGAAGTGTCGTGAGACTACAGCCCCCATGAACAACTGTGTCCCCCACTCCGCGACTTGACTCTTTATTTACACAACAGCAATCATAATGATACCAGGCAGTGGGCTAAGTGCTTTATGTGCCTTACGTCATTTAAACCTTAACAACCGTCCTGTGAGGCAGGTACTGATTTCTAGTCTCTTTCCCATCAAGGACCCTGAGGCTCAGAGGAGTTAAGTCATTCAAAGGGACACAGGTATGAAATAACAAAGCCTGAATCTACACCCAACTCAACTCCAAAGCCTGATTCCTAACCACTGCATCCTTTGGGAAAATGTCAAGTTCATATTCAAGGTAAAAAATTTTTTAGTAAAACAAAGAAGATGAAAGTTCTCCAAGTGGTCCATTTCCCCAATGTCAGATTACTATATAAGTTTCATTAGCAACGGAGGAGAGAGAAATATCTGGAGAAATAATGACCAAGAATTTCCCAGGACTAAGCACTTTAGATATTAAAGAAACACAATAGGACCGCAGACTGAAAAAGCTCACAGGATGCCAGACCCACGCTACCACGGTAAAATCCAAGAACGTCCAAGGCCAGGAGAAATTTTAAAAGTCTTCAAAGAGAAAAAGCAGATCCCTCTCACAGGAGCAAGAACCAGACATCACCCTTCTCAGTAATAACCCTGGAAATAAATAGACCAAGGAGTGGTATCTTCAAAGTGTTGAAGCTACGATTTTATCCAAGTAAATTATCATTTACTTGTGAATGTGAGATAAAAGATCACATGAGAACACAGACGCCCTTGAAAGAACTCTTTAAGGTTGTACTCCATTAAGGAGAAAAATGAGTTCAGCAGAAAACAAGAGAGCAAAGGAAAGAATTTGGTAAATTTTGTGGTCTAAATAGGCAATAATAAAAACCCACTTCTGTAAATCATACATTGGACTTGGCTCTTCCACTGACACAACCCCTCCACGTGAACTGGATTTCTCTCTGGGTACCTTTTTCTTTTTCTAGTCTTTCTCTTGTCTTCCCACCCACTGGATGATCTTACTTGATAACAGGGGCCAGAGGCCCGAAAGTCTCTTCCTGAGAGCAGAGCATGTCCTGGGTGACGTTGCTGAGCAGGGTGGGCTCAAAGAAATTTTTTCCAACTTGATGTCGCTTCCCACCTGTCACAACGGTGGCCCCTTTGGAAACAGCATCACTCACGTGTTTCTCTACCTGTGAAGAGACAAAGAAGAGCCCTTGGGAAAGGTGGCTGAGGATACTTTGGAAGTGTTTAAACTGCAGAAAACTGTAACTGGCTCTTTTTAAAATAGGTTGAAAACCACATACCCTGCTTCCTTCTAGTTAGGAAAAACACAAAACAAAACAAAACAGATATGCAGAGATAGAGGCGTGAGCTGCTGCCTCCTCCCCACTCGGTGATTCTTCCGGCTGTTTGGTCTTACTGTTTGTCGAATGGCCTAATACACACCTGTGTCTTTCCAGGCCTGATGCCCAGCTGTCTTTCTGGGATTTGCTCTCATCGCCAGGCTCTTGGATCCCATGTTGTTCTCTTCCCTGGACTTTCATTGTGTTCTAATACATTCTCCATGAGTAGTTGTTTTGAAAAAGGTGCACTGAAACTGGTTTACTTTCTGGGTTTTCTGATGCTGCGTGTGTGGTGATTTTACCTTGTATTAGAGGGTGATGGAATTTGGACCTAAAACAATTTTCCTTCACAGTGCTGAGTGTGCTTCTCCACTTCTGGTGTGATTGACGAGAAGTCTGATTCAAAGCTAGTTCTTACTCCTTTGTGGGTAGCTTTCCTTCCCACCCCCCACCAAAGTTTCTAGAATCTTTTTGTATGTTCCTGACTTTCTAAAATTTTAGCAAAACATATCTGGGTATTTCTTTTTACTCATTCTGTTCGGCAATTGGCGAAGTCTTTCAATCTGAAGAATTTAGTTATTTTCCCCTAGCTCGGAGAAATTTTCCCCTAGTAATTATTCGATACTCCTATCTCTTCCGTCTTAATTCTTTCTTTCTAAAGCTCCTATTACTAAGATGGATATGCCCTTCACTGCAGATTAATTGTTTCCTTTTTGAATTTCTGCCATATTTTTCATCTCTTTGTCTTTTGCTTTAAATTCTAAGAGCTCTCCTTGGTTTTGTCTTCTATCATCATTCATGATTTTTAAAAAGATTTTGACCATCATGTGTTTAATTTCTAAAAACTCTTTCTTGCTCTCATTGCTTCATTTTCACAGAACCTGCTTCTGTTCCATAGACCTACTATCTTCTTGGTGCTCCTGGAGGACACTGTTAGTGTCAGAAAACTCCCTTCTGTGCCCAGTGTCATCTGCTTCTTTTTGGGTCAGCTTTCTCTCTGTTCTTCCTGACCCTCTAGCATGCTGAGGGTTTTCCTCTAAGGCTGTCATGATTCTTGGCTGTTCATCTTTCTAATGAAGGACAAGGTTGATTAATTTTAATGTGTGACATGGGTGATCTTTGCTGTTTCCAGTCTCTTCCCTGAGAGGGACAGCTACCAGCTTGGGTTTATTCTCACCTGGCAGGCTTTGCGTTAGGGGCATCCCCTGCCCCAAAGGTCAAAGGTCACCCCACTCTGGTGCACCTACCCTGACTCTTGCAGTGGTAGCCTCCCTAAGCTGGCTGCTCCATTTCTTCAGAGGTATTTTCCTGCTCAGAGCAAATGCCTCTGCTGTCTTGTATGTATTGGTGGTGGCAGTGGTGGTTGGGGGTCTGTGGGGGTTGAGAATGACCCAGAAAATCATGCAGAAGCATAACCAATTAGTTCTGTTTCTCCCCTCCTCCCAGCCCTACCCTCCACCCCAACCATTTCCAGAAAACCTCCATCCTAAAAATGACACACATTTCCTCTGCAGGCTTCCCCCGGGCATGCCTCGTTTGCTTTGACTTGTCTGTTAACACAATCCCTTCTGCCCTCCAGAAGTTCATCACAATCCATGGTCCACTGGAGTCCTCCCCTCCTCCCACTCTCAGTGGACTAGTCTATAGGATTTCAGGAGAGACAAATATAGGCTTGTGCACATTCTGCCGTTGAGATTCACACTTTTAAAATCCTCACCCCCTGTAACGCTCTCATAGTCCATTGTCTGCAACAAATCCCCATGAGCCAGGATGGCTTACTTTCTATAATTTATGACTCTAAAAATACCTATATTTAACGTAGTTAACAAGGCCCCATTCTATTTGAATCCAATTAGAATATGCGTTTATTTTTCTTGTCATATTAAATGTGATGTGCACTTTCTCCCCTGGAATTGACCCTATGATTGTATGTACACTAAAGCCAACACGATGGATTCTTTTCAGACAAGGTGTTTTCTACTAAACTCTCCAAAATAAGAAATCCTTCTACTTTAGTTGCTTGAAGTCCTAAGAAAGAGCGCCCTCTAGAGAGCACTGTTTGCACAATCACTTTGGCAAGAATAACAACAAAATCTCCAGGACAACGGTTTCCTAGTCTGCAAATTAGCAGTAACTGGGGCACTGAAGCAACGCCAGTGCCTAGGCCCTACTCAGACAGATTCACCCTCAATCTCCTCGAGTAGGGCCCATGTATCTGTAGTTGTTAAAGACACAGGGTGGGTTAAGAACCACCGCTCTGGGACTTGAGCCACAGCTGGTGTAGACCCAAACTGTCTTCATTGGCTGTTCGAGTCCCCAGGGTCCAAAGTCATCTCAAAAATGCAGTAAACTTTAATGTATGTCCTCTATCTAGAGACAGAGACTCCCAAGGCAATAACAAGAACTGTATCAGAGCTCCATAAAACCTGAGTGCTGTTGGTGGCCACAAGGAAAGGCACCAGGCGTGGCCTTCAGCCGACCTGACTGCCTGCTGTGTCAGGGCAGCCACTCCAGGGCTCGGTCCTCAGGCTCTCAGGGGCCAGTGCACAGCGATGGGGCTGTGCTTCCCACCTGGGTGCTGATCTGGCTGTAACCTGATTTTGATTCCTCAGCGGACACCCAGGAGGTTGGCTGTACCTGCTTTCTGGCCACCTCTCCTCCTTTTTTTCCCACACACAACCTCAGACCTCCATTTTCTACTAAAATTCTGTTAAAATCCTTTCTACCAGTAGAGGCTTATCCAGGGAGCACACTGGATGCTTGGTATTACAGGGGAGTTCCTTATAAACAACGCTAGAAAGGATCATATTTTATTTTACTTTGTTTATTTTATGAGGGGGAGGTAATTAGGTTTATTAATTTACTTCTATTTGGAGGAGGTACTGGGGATTGAACCCAGGACCTCGTGTATACTAAGCATGCGCTCTACCACTAGAACTAGACCCTCCCCCCACCAGATTTTTTTTTTAATAATGGAGCAAGGAGAGAAAACTCACCTAGCTAGTAGTCTAGATTGTATTATTATTTGAACAAACAAGTCCTTCCTTGAGGAGTTTCCCTTTCCTGCTGTCTCTAAATCCTAAACATGATTTCTGCAGTTCCACATCTCCCTGCCAAGATGGTTTTTGTCAAGGATTCTTCTAGAAGGGCATTTTGTGGTCAGTGCCAACCATCACTTCAGCTGAATCACAAACGATCTCAAAAACAAAGCCTATTTCCTTTCCTTTTAGGTGTTCCAAAAATTAAAAGAACTTTGTATTTCAAGATTTTTTTTTGAGGTGGGGAAGGAGGTAATTAGGTTTATTTATTTACTCACTTTTTTTGAAGAGGTGTATTTTAAGATCTTAATTTCCGAGAAAGCAGGAGACGGAATTATCACCACTAAAAAGAGAAAATTTAGGGAGGGCAGCAGAAGATTGACATTGAACAGATAATAAAATGAACCTACCTTTTCTACTGCTTTCTCATTAATTAACGGGCCTTGAGTAGTTCTCTCTTCAAATCCGTTCCCCACGCGCAGGTTTGTTTTAATTGCCTCGGCAAATTTTTTCACAAAGGAATCATGGATGCCTCTTTGCACCAAGAAACGATTTGAGCAAACGCAAGTCTAGACAGAAAGAAACAAACTCACATAGATAGTTTGTTGGAAGCTATTGACCCAACCAATAAACGTGTGACTGCGGCTACCTCTGAATGTGAACGCACTTCCCCAGGGGGGTCTTGTTCTGTGTCCCACTTGCTGTGTTCCCCTCTGTGCAGGTTGGCCCTAAAGACAGAGGCACTGAATGCACATACTTCTCCAAGCTCCTCCAGAGATGCCACACCTCTGTGTTTCAACAAGTAGGCGATGATAAATATCTGTGCTCAAAAAACCCAAAAAGCCACCCATCCCAAGTTTTTTCAAATGGCTCAAATAGGGATAGGAAAAAAACAACACAAGAAACTTTAACTCCCTAAGAGATAGTGATACTATAGCAACAGAGAGCAAAGCTAGAAGAAATGTGGTCAAAGACACATCGGTGAGCTTTTTAAACCTCTCAAGCATGTGGCAGAATCTGACATTTTGAAAATGGACACAGGACCATTCTTCCATGTCAGCCTAAATTATTGAAAAGTCCCTTGATTATTTTTTCTAATTAGATCTAATATTTTAAAACTATATAACATAACCACATTACTGGAAATGTAGTTATGCTTGATATTTTTTTTTCTTGGCTTTTTTCTTAGTCATGTATTTTTCTAGTAGAAACAAGTATATAGATAATTTTATGTCCTATGCATTTTTATTGGCTTAAAGTGACATACCCCAATGTTGTACCTTTATAACTCTGAAGGCTTCACACTTTCATGTTTCTAAAAGGAAACATATCCATTTCTGAAGCAACCAAGTTTATTTAGATTATGTGAAAGGAGAAAAATTAATTATCAAAGGCTAAAACAAGGATGAAAACTATATAATATAGAATATTATATATTTCACCTTTTTCCCCCCAGATAACCTTTTAGGAATTTTTATTCCATGTCTGGAATATATTTAAAACCGCTTACTGATGGACTCTAAGACAAAGTGCTTAAGAATAATGTATACAAATCCAGGATCCTGACAACAGCTTGGATGGAAACTGGGAGACTGGGCCCTTGGTTCACAGTCCCGATCCTTAGCAGAGGTGGGTCTTCAGCCCAAGGATGTATGACTTTAAGTCAGTTCGTCTTTCTAGAGTCTCATGTCTTCAGCTGTCAGATTCGAGGTTTGTATCAGATAACTTGGGAGGTGCCTTCCCAGATCTAATGCTCCAGGGTTCCCTAGGAGGGTGTGAGCTCAGGCCACCACTCTCCCAAGGACAACCTGGACCTGCCTTGGGTCACCGTGGTATGTGCCTTTTGCAGTGGGCACCTGTCACGCCCCCACCACCTCCGGGAGAGTGAGACCCAGGCAGTGAGGTTTTGAGTTTTTCAAGGCTCCATTTCAACATTTTTCTACCTTCTTTTCCTTAAGACTATAGCCCTCAGACCCTAAGTGTTCAGGCTGTTTTGTGTCTGAAGGGGATGATTAAACCTCTTCAGTAGAAAAAAGCCCCAAGAGGGGAAAGCGGTGAAAATAACCAGATTCAAAGAGGAGAGGAGGGAAGAGGAAGAGAACAATTTGACTGAAAGGCATCTGCTGTTTGGGAGGTTCCTGAGGACGCGGATGCTACCTTTTTCTCTTCGGATCCTCTGAGTCTAGCAGAGTCCCAGCTGAGAGAGGGCACTCACTGAACACGCAGTGAAAGGGGACACGAACAAAGAATGAGGTGGGGGGACCCACAAGTGTCCTTCCAGGAGGTGAGGAAGGTGGTAGGATCTTTGTAAAACATACACACCACCCTGAAAAACGCTCCAGGACTTGCCTGTCCAGAGTTCCTAAATTTGGAGGCCATGGCGCCTGCGACAGCCTGGTCCACGTTGGCGCTGTCGAACACGATGAATGGGGCATGGCCGCCCAGCTCCATGGACACTCTTTTCACGGACTTTGCTGCGTGGTGCAACAGGACCTGTGAGCAGAGGAGGGGATGCTGTGAGCACTGGAATCAATGACAAAACCAACTCTCTGGACTGGTGAGCCTTTGTTTTAAAAAAATTACCCCATAGTGGAAAAAGCCAGGTGCACAGTAATGTATGCAGGATGATAGTTTGTGTAAGAAAAGGGGGAAATAAGGATATATATATACACACATATATATATGTGTGTGTGTGTGTGTGTACATATTTGCTTGTTTTGGTAAAGAAACACTGGGGAAGATAACAAGAAACTAAAAGCAATTACTTATAAAAGGGAGGAAATCAGGGAGAAGGGTGAGGGTGAGATTTCTGAATATAAACATGGTTATATTGCCCTGGTTTCTGAACTGTGTAAATGTATGACCTAGTCCAAAAAATTACAATAAATAGGCTTAAAAATCATATGTAGAGCTAAGATAATATAGAGAGAAAATAATAAAATCACCCAGAATCCCACCACCCATAGCTGACTACTGATACAACTTTAAGGTACATCCGTCCAGAATTTGGCCACACACACTGGTTCATGTATATGTACTCTTTTTTGTTTTTTAAGAAAATAGGATGGTTAAAAAAACAACAACAGATGGCAGTTTTTTTGAATACTTTCATTGCGCTATGGTTCTTATGCAGTAAACTATACACATTTCAGATGTACAGTCTGATGAATTTTGATAGGTGTATACACTAATGAAACCACCACCACAATCAAGATAGCTAACATTTCCATCACTCCGCAAGAGGTACAAATTTCAAATTCCTCATTTATCCCTTCCCACCTACTTTAAGTTATGCAGTTTTATAACCTGGTTTATCTTCCCAATTACTCATATATCCGGAACATCTTAACATGCTCACAAAACTTTATATCCTGCTCCTTTAACATAGTACTATAATATGAAGATTCTCTCATGTCAGCATGTGTTTCCAGAGCATTCCTTTAAATGCTTGCCTCGTATTCCACTGCTTAGCCGTTCCATCATTAATTTATTTAGCCCTCATCTGTTGGAAATTTAGGTTGCTTCTAATTTCTTGCTATTAAAAACAACACTGCAGTCTTTCCCTCAGAATAAATGAGCAGAAGTATAATTGCTAGGTCAGTGCACAACTGTAAGGCTTTTTCATACTTGTTTTTTCATACTTTTTCATAATTGTTAAGCTTTAAATATCCAGTAAGAGTCTCATGCCCTAGGAAAGCTGCCCAGGGATGTCTGCTTTATTACAGGATAGCAGGTCTTTGTCCGGTCAGAGCTACAGGAAAGATGGAACCACTTGGATGGTGCATGTGAAACAGACGCAGTCACAAGCCCAGGGTCACTCCAGGAATGGTCCCCATGAAGCACACCCTGAGGCCGTGGGCTTTACGATCAGGCCCTTAGTCAAAATTCAGCACGGCTGGAAAGCTGCTTCGGTATTTCTCTGTGTGCCCAGATATTACTATTTCAGCAATGAACCAGAAATAACCACCTTCTCAATGAAACGTTACTAGTCAACAAATTGTACAAGTTTTACGATTACACATATTTCTTTATTGGACTCATGATAGCTGTTTTCTTTTGAATTTTTAAAAACTGTTCTCTGCTAGGCAGTTGGATTTTCCTGACTTTGCTTGCTCTTGGGTCTCTTGCCTCTGCCCAGCCTCGGGCTCAGGACCTGTGTCCTCCGACCGTATCTTCTTCGCACTCAGTGCCCGTGGTGATGGCTTGAGCCTGGCTCTGGCCTGTGTGGCCCCTGTGGCACTGCGTGCATACCTGTTATGTCTTAAGGAATCCTTTCCTCTCTGGCTCCCCCTGCTGACCTTCTCAGGACCTCAGCTTCCAAAGCCCTAGAGAGGGAATGTGACTGCCCACCTCATCATCCTCTGCCAGGTTGCCTGCCCTAGCTTACTGGCCAGCCTACAAATCTGTTTCCCTTGGGTCAAATGACCACTCACGGTTGAATTTGCTGTTGGGGGAGAGACAAGGTATCATGTGCTATAAAAATGGCTGCTGTCCCCTCAACAGGCCCTGGGGGTGGGGGAGTGGTCCCCCTGGAAGGCGGTGAGGCCAGGGCAGCATCTCCAGAACAGGCTGACTATCTGAGATTCGCTTAGAGGCAAGATCCTATGTCCTGAGATCAGGAGCTCAGCCACTGTTTCTCTGCCAAGATCAGCTCAGAAGAGGCCCTGGGGATAGAGGATGGTTATTCCTTTCTTAGTGATTCCCATCCCTTTTTCCTACAAGCCACTTCAAGTGAATCATTGTCCTGTGTAAATAAGAGGCACAACTGGACTTGGCAGGAACGTGGTCGGCATTTTCCTGGGGGTCTGTTCGATGGGACAGTTTGCCGAGCAGAGTGAGGGAAGCAGTGAATAGGCAGCCTTTGCCTGGCACCTGGGACTTTCTCTGGTCTCAATGGCAAAGATTCACAAGCTTTTCTCCCAGGCCTCTCTCTTTTTCTCTAACTACCTCATAGTGACATTTGAAACCCTCTGAGAGTAAGTTTGCACCACAAGATCCATTGATCAGGGTGGTGGCAGCTTGCAGACCTAAAATTCCTGCCTCTGAAATGAATGAATGGTAGGCTTCACATGGCATGACAAATGTGGTTATGGTTGGGAGTGACTAAAATTGCTTTATTCCCTCCCATTTTGCATAGCGTCAAAAAATGACTCATTTCACCAAAACTTTCAGATTAGATTTGTATTATTTTTACCTGATACATGTTTATAGATGTCTCTAGCATGAGTAGATATGTATGGAGATACATAAACACTAGCAGAAAAAAAGTATACTATCTGGAGAGAAACACCATAAATAAGAACTTCTCTTCTACTCTGCCTTTTTTATCTTTTGAACATTTAAAAGGAGAAATAAAAATGCACTCACAGGTGCCATACGAGATTTCGGGGAAAGAACTTTTCAACGTTTAAGGGGAAAAAAAAGATCTTTCTGTTTCTGTAAGTACCTTTATACTAAATGCAATTTTTGTTCAATTCTAAGACATCCATTTCCTTAATTCTAGATTAGGAAAGAAACATGCATTCAAGTTATGCGAATACAATGGACAGCTTTCAGCCACTCCCCATGCAACAAATAATGGGAACCTCGACTTCCCCTGTGCCTTCGGTTTTGTCAAACAGGAACCTACGTCATGTCACAGAAAGGAACCCCATCTGAAATATCTCCAGACGGTGATCAGACATTATGTTGTCGAACAGAGCTTTCAACACTCTGCTGGTGTTAAGTCTTGATCGAGATGAAACAGTGTTCTGATTCTCTGTAAAGAGAAGATGTTAGGATAACAGTTGTTTTCTTTGAGACCTAAGTCACATACCTTTCCGGTGGCTGTTGAGCCAGTAAAGGAAATTTTGGACACCAGAGGATCCGTGCAAAGTGCTTCGCCTACTTCCTTGGCCTTCTTTCGAGAACAGGGAATAACGTTGTATACACCCGGAGGGATTCCAGCCTGGTCTGCGAGCTATAAAGAGAAACAGCAAACATGTGGCAGCAAATGATCAAACTGGAAAAACAGAAAAGAGAAATAAATAGATGTTTTAATCCAAAAAGTAATGGGAAAAAAAAATAACTAGGCTGACTTTGGAAACAGAATACATTTGGAACTGAAATAAGATTATTTAAGTGCTAAGGTGACATTAATATTAATGTGTCGTTGGAAGTTTCTGTAAGAATTTACGCGATATTTTATTGTGCGTGTGTGTATACATATATGTATATTTCTTAGCCCTGCCACAAAGAGGTCTAGAAACAATGACCAACCAGTAGCAATGACCATCCTTAGTTCCCCAAGTGTAGTCTTAAAATATCACTTCCTACCAGAGGAAACAAGGGCTTTCTGCAGAAATGATTAATCCCAGGTCTGGGGCAAGAAATATCTATAATAAGCCTGAAATATCTCGTCATTACTAGATAGCAAGGAAAGTCTCAAAACTATTAACGTTAAAATACTAGAGAGCCGACTTGAAGAGGCTGCCATTGTCCAGAAATGGGGGCAGTCTGCTTCATTAAGGGTCATAACTGCAAAAGACTGAAAGTCATCAAATATGTTAAAATCTACTTAGCATATAATGATACTTAAAAAACAAACTAACTGAGAACATCTGGCAGATGACAGGAATAGATTCATTAATTTGAAAAACTGGTAAATAAAAAGAATCAAGCATACTGCCTTTCCCATGTGAATTTACCACTGGGGAACCAAATAGGAGATGATGCATGGCTTTGATTCATAGAAGTGGTCTGGTGAATAAATGACAGAAAAAGGAAAGAATTCAAAAATCTCCATTTTCGTAATTCCTAATGAATAAATAGACTGTGCAGCATTGCGCAGCAATGAATGCAAACATCTCAAAAATGGAGACACCCAGACATTATGTGCCTCCTGACAAAAGGACACAAAACGGAATCAGACCCAAGTGTGAAGAAGCATCTGGATGCAGCTGCCCGTCTGTGGGAAGTGCAGCAGACACAGGAACAAGGCTCAGACTGTGGGGAGCGCTACTGGTCAAATGTCCAGTTTCTTCAACAGATCAATTGAAAGGACGAGTACAGGATGGAGGGGAACCTGCAGCATCGAAGAAACTCACAAGACGTTCCAAATTTTAAAAAACGAGTAAGACTTTAATTCCTGCAGAGGCACACCCGGGTGACAAATGATTACCATACAAATCAAGACGGGCTATTCTGGAGGGAGGTATGATTCAGATAGGACAGGCAGAGTCCTTCTGGAGCAGGTGGCAAAGTTTTTGTTTTTTTTTTTAACAGAGTTAGTGGGGACTAAACCCAGGACCTCGGGCATGCTAACCATGCACCTGCCACTGAGCTATACCACACCCCCTCAAAGTTCTTTTTCTTAACCAGATGATGGTTACGAGGGTATCCAAGTTATAATAATTCATTCAGCTATGCATTTGTTTCGTGTGGTTTCTCTGTATTGGCTTTAGTTTACAATTAAAAAAAAGACATTGATGGGATGCACGTACTTTATGATTGTTTTATGATGTCTCCACTTTGAAGGTGGAGACAGGACAGAGCAAGGTTAGCTGCTTCACCCGGGCAACAGAGAAATCCTCAGAGTTTCTAGGCCTTCACTAAAGACCTGTCATTTTCTGTTGGTCTAAGAAGCTGTGTTTTTCCTTTGAAATAATCTCTCCATTTATAGAGGCTTTAAAATATGTGCTCTATAACCTTTCCAATCAATTCAAGTGTTGTGCTTTCAAATAAATTTCGCAAGCAGGTGGGGTCTAACATCAAAGATTGGTTCAGCCTCTAAACATAATTTGTAGGAAGTATACCATTAACTATATCTATGCTCAGGAGTCTAATAAAAAGGCTAACTTATGTCATGCAGATTTACAAATTATTTCAAGGAAAACTGTAACAGCCCATCTTAAAAAAAAAAAAAAGTCTTCCACTCCATTAACTTTTCTGTGCGAGGAAAACAACCAGTCTGCCTCTGAAAGGAGGTGCCCTTGGGTGAAGTGCCCTTAAAGGAGACAGGTTTCTAGTCACTGGGTCTGCAGCTGCACCGGGTCCATGAGAGCCTAGGACAGCGGACACAGAATGGCCACTGCTGTGAAGATGGTAGTGCTGGCCTTTTGGAAGCCCCTGTATCTAACCACAGGGCAAACGGCCAGGGCAGGAGCACGGGGACCTACGGAAGGAAGAAGGCTGAGGTGATGAGGTCCCTCCCCCTCCCTCCCACTGGCTGAGTGCCTCTGCATCCAGGCACAGTGCTAGGCTCTGGCACACAGCAGTGAGGGAACAGAACAGATCCAAGTCCCCATCTGAGCTCAGCTTACATTCTTGTGGGATAATTATCAAAACAACGAAGTAAGACACCTGTCAGGTACGGGAAGAGGAATAAAGCAGGGAAGGGGATGAGGAGCGAGAGAGCTCAAGCCTGTGATTTTCAAACAGGGTGGCGGGGGAGCAGGGGAGGCCTCAGGAAAGGTGGCATTTGAATAAAGACGGGAAGAAGCGAATCATGGGTGTACTTGGGGGAGAACTTTCCAGAGGGAAAAGCGAGTGTCAAGCTGCATCGAAGGTGAACCTGGTGTGGCCTGGGGAGCAGCAGGGGCCCCAATGGCCGGAGCAGAAGAGTAAGGGGTCTGGAGTGACTGAGAAGGGCGGTGGGTAGGAGAGGTTGAGGGATGGGGAGGCAGCATCTCACTGGGCCTTGAAGGCCACCGCAGGAAGTCTGGATTTTACTCTGAGTGACATGAGAAGCCGTTAGAGGCTTTTGGACAGAAGGACAAGATCTGACTGAATGCACATTGACCTGGAGAAGGGGTGGTAGGTAAGAGGTGCCTGAATGTGAGAAATGCCCACATTTTGGTCACATTACTAAGACTAAATAAAAACAATGGGTACATATTTTTAGGGAAGCCTAAAAAATACACTGCCTACAGATGTCAGAACCCAGCCTCACCCATGTTTTTTTCTAAAAGGAGCAACATCTGGATTAAAAATCATGCCTAGTGAATTAGAACATAGCACCATCCTGCATGAGATGCAGGCAAAGAAGGAGGCTTGGAAAGTGCTTCGTTCAGTCCGGGATAAACATCCTTTCTTGGACTCTGTCGGCTCTGCGCAGTCGCAGCGCCAGAGGCTCACCTCGGCCAAGGCCAGGGCAGAGAAGGGCGTGTCCTCCGCAGGTTTCACCACGACGCTGCAGCCGGCTGCCAGGGCGGCCCCCACCTTGCGCGTGATCATGGCGCTGGGGAAGTTCCACTGGATCAGAAGAGAGAGGAAGTGAGTGAGAGGAAGGCCTGGCCCCTCGTCCAAGGGCAGGCAGGTCTGGAAGTCAGCCAGCAAACTCCTTTGCACAAGTGACCGGCAGGGCTGTTCTGGCACAGGTAAGCTCTCAGAACGCCTGGCACCTACCGACTTCAGGGACGGGGGAGACAAAGGCTCATGAAGACAGGAACATTTTCAGAGTTTAAAACAGTATGAAATGATCTACCCTGGGGGATGGCCAACTTCTCCTGTAAAGGGCCAGGTAGTAAATATTTAAGGCTATGTGGGATATCCAGTTACGGTTACAACTACTCAGTCCCACAGACAATATGGGTGTGGCTCTGTCCCAATAAAACTTTATTTACAAATACAGACAGCAGGCTGGATGTGGCCTGAGGGCCGCAGTTTTCAGACTTCGGGAGAAAAGGTTAACAAAGGTGATTTTGAAAATGGCAGATGATGTATTACTTCCCTCTCTATATATTTACAGATCTCTATGGACATCTGTGTATCTGCAGTAACAACATTTTATTTTGACAAAAATTTGTATAGTGCTTATTCTGTGCCAGGCATTGTTCTAAGCACTTTCAAGTGATAATTAAGTCCTCATCACAACCCGGTGAGGTTGGTGCAATTCTCCTTATTTGCAGGTTTGGAGAAAGTGAGACAGAGCAGTTAAGTAACTTGCTCAAGGTCACACAGCTGGTGAAGAGTGGAGTTTGTGTCAAACCTGGTCAGTCTAGGCAGGAAGGGGACGTCTCTCTGTAACTGTGGTGAGCAGGGAAAGAAGAGGAGGCCTGAGACCAGCTGTCAGACACTGTAGAGGAGTTTATATGGGACCTAGGGGAAGGTAGACCCAAGAAAGGCAGCTCATCAGGAGAAAGCTGGGCACCCCACAAGTGTACTGCAGCCCCAACCTGGCAGAGGCAATGTCTTATTTCTTAGTCTTTTTACTTCCTTTTTACTTCCCACCGCCTACTAGTAGGTACAGAAATACTTTGCTCTTGATGTCTGCAAATTAAACATAAAATTTTCTCAAAAGTATGGCACATTAGAAAAAGTATTATATCTTAAGTCTTAAAACAAATGATAAATACCAGAAAAACTTTTTAGATGTACTAGGCAGTGCCAAGAAGCCTTTATGCCAAGTCAGAAAAGCCCCCTGGGTCCTCCTGTGGGTCCTCCCCCTTCTGCAGGCATTAGATAACACGGCTGCCCAGTGGCCACCACCACACCTCCCATTACCACTGAGGAAGGACCAGGAAGCACACCTCCGCATCCAGCAATGGCATCGGGAAACGGAGAACAAGTGATGAAGCTAACAGGATGGGCACAGCTGCTCAAGCTCCACTCATCCTCTTCCCCTAGGATCTTGCTGATCCTGCCACGTACCGGGGTGATGACTGCGGCCACACCGAGGGGCTGCTTGAGTACCAGAGCCCGCCTATCTTTTGCCGGGGTACAGATAATGTCTCCGTAAATGCGGCGGGCTTCCTCTGAAAACCACTCCAGGAAATTGGCAGAATAGAGAATTTCTCCCTGTGCTTCTTTCAGCGGTTTTCCCTAAATTAAATCAGAAAAGGACACTTTCATCACCTTCTTATAATAAAGCATGATTCTGCATTTCTAAATACTTCAAGGCTGCAAGCAGAGTAGAAAAGTTTCCCATTACAAAACCCACCGGGTAGTTGAGAAATTTCTAACCTCAGTGTGAGTCTTGGAAAGCAGAATTACAAATAGTGATGGAAGGATGTCTGCCAGGCCACCCTGAATCACAACTGAGCGTCATTTGCATTCTCAATATGTTTACAATGAGGAGGAGACAGCAAGAACTGCCTCTCCTAATTTTTTTTCTTCTAATCTCTTCTCAATGTTGTGACTTGTGATGCAATTTGTTAGAGCAACCAAAAAAAAAAAAAACCTGATACCTTTTAAAATGTACAAAAACCACATAAAAAACAACCAAAACATTGAAAAAAACTGCATTGATGAAAAAGCAGTATTCACATAGTTCCCTCAAAATCTACCTCTCACATACTATGTTTTTCTTTTTTAAAAAATTTAAGTATAGTCAGTTTACAATGTTGTATTAATTTCTGGTGTACAGCATAGTGTTTCAGTTATACTTGGATACTATTAAAGAGTAAATTAGAAAATATAAGTTTTGCTTTAGCAAACGTGAGTGCCTGACTTAGGAAAAGTCTGTGCCATACACAAGACTCAGCTGATCTGATCATTAGGCAAGGAATTGACGTTGTTTTTAGCTACAGAAAACCACTGACTGTTAGAGGCTTCCCCAAGCTTTAGTCTAAGAACTACTGGACAGTTTCTTCGGGTAGCAAGTTAGAACCCTGAACTTACACTTTCAGCTGTAATTATCTTGGCAAGGTCATCCTTATTTTGTATCATTAAATCGTACCACTTTCGAAGTAAAGAACTCCTCTCCTGAAAAAGAAACGGAAAAAGAAATAGTGAAGAGACAAGTATAAGAGAGGCTATTAAATAATCTTCAATTTCCTACAGTATCTATTGTGTGGTCTCATTCTTGGGGGACACACACTGACCTTTCTTTTTCTTAAAATCGAGATATAGTTGACATACAACAGTATATTCATTTGGAATGTACAGACATTTCTTTGATATGTAATAACAAAGATCCAATTTCAAGTAGCATCGAACAGGGCGTACTAAGTCATAAATTGTAAAACAGAAAAAAGTTTCATGGAGCAGGTATTATTGTTTATGGTAAATATGAATAACTTTAATTTCACCACACAAAGGTGTATTTCCCTATTTTTAAACAAACTTATTTTTAATTGCAGTAAAATACACATAACATAAAATTTAACATCTCTTTTTATTGAAGTATAATCAGTTTACAATGTTGTGTCAATTTCTGGTATACAGTACGGTGATTCAGTCACACATAGACATACATATATTCCTTTTCACTATTGGTTACTACAAGATATTGAATATAGTTCCCTGTGCTATAGTAGAAACTTGTTGTTTATCTATTTTATATATAGCAGTTAGTATCTTCAAATCTCGAACTTCCAATTTATCCCTTCCCACTCCTTTTCCCCTTTGGTAACCATAAGTTTGTTTTCTATGTCTGTGAGTCTGTTTCTGTTTTGTAAGTAAGTTCATTTGTGGTTTTTTTTTTAAGATTCCACATATAAGTGATATTATATGGTATTTTTCTTTCTCTTTCTGGCATCACTTAGTATGACAATCTCCAGGTCCATCCATGTTGTTGCAAATGGCATTATTTTATCATTTTTATGGGTGAGTAGTATTCCATTGTCTATATATATATCACATCTTCTTTATCCAGTCATGTGTCGATGGACATTAAGGCTGCTTCCATGTCTTGGTTATTGTAAGTAGTGCTGCTATGAACACTGAGGTTCAGGTATCTTTTCAAATTAGTTTTTGTCTTTTCCAGATGTATACTCAGGAGTGGGGTTGCTGGATCATATGGTAAGTCTATTTTAAATTTTTTAAGGAATCTCCATACTGTCTTCCATAATGGCTACACCAAACTATATTCCCAGCAACAGTGTGGGAGGGTTCCCTTTTCTCCACACTCTCTCCAGCATTTATCATTCGTGGACTTTTCAATGACGGCCGTTCTGATTGGTGTGAGGTGATACCTCATTGTAGTTTTGATTTGTATTCTGATAATTAACGATATTGAGCATAACATTTAACACCTTAATCACTTTTAAGTGTGCAGTTCAGTGGCCTTGAGTACATTCACATTGTTGTGCGACCATCACCACCATCCATCTCCAGAACGCTTTTCATCTTGCAAAAACTGAAACTCTGTCCCTATTAAACAATAACTCTCCATGCTCCCCAGCCTCTGACAATCACCATCCTACTTTCAGTCTCTAAGAATCTGACTACTCTAGGTAGTTTATATAGACAGACTCATACAACCTTTGTCGTTTTGTGACTGGCGTATTTCACTCAACACAATGTCCTCAAGTACAGTTGTTTATTTTAATGACTTATTGGCAAGTTGAATTTGTCCCACAGACTGGGGTGGACATTGTGGGGTGTGTGAGGCATAAGAAAGGGTTTTTATACACTTAGGAAGAGGGCCCAAGCACAACACTGTGGATGTACTTAATGCCACCAAACTGTACACTTGCAGATGGCTAAAATGGTAAATGTCATGTTATGTCCATTTCACCCTAATTTTTAAAAATTTCCAAAGAGGACAAAAGAATAGATTGGATTATTAACTATACTATGGAAGACAAGGTTTCCTTAAAAAAATTTTTAAAGGAATTTATTTATATAAAATCATAAAAAAAAAAGAGGGCCCAGAGAGTCAGGTCAACTAGGCCACACAGAAACGCTCTAAAGGATGATGTGCCCCAGGGGCTCCAGCCTCCTGCATCTGAACAGGTGCATCTGAAGCAAAGAAAAACCTTTTGTTTATTCTTCCTGCCTGGAAAGGTTGCCCATGGCAACGAGCAAACCTGGTTTGTCATCCCATCATTCTAATCCGTTCAGCAGGCATGAGATTTAAACTGTTTTCTCGTTCCACTCACGAGAAGAGAGCCGAGACTGTGTAAACCCCACTAACCACCTTGCTCTGGGTTCTTTCCCTTCCTTATTTTGGACACAGTAACAAGCTTCGTTACCTTAGCCCTCAAGAGTGTTGTTGAGATGAAGCCTTCTAAATCTCAATCCCCCAGAAAAGAGACATCAACAACCCTTAAAAGTATTACTACAGTAATTTCACTTTGCTGACTCTCACTGTGCAATACCGGTTCAGAATCTGATGACTGTGGGCCCATGTGCTGTGGCTTATTCTGGAGGAGAAATGAAAGACTAAAATCTAGGAGGCCCAGCTTAGAGAAAGAAATTAAACATGAGGAAATGGTGCTGTGAGGACTTCAGCACCATCCGCAGTCTGAGAGAGAAAGATAAGAAGGTGGAGCAGCATGAGCACTGTGAGGACAGGAAGCAGACTCTACTTGCTGGCGGAGCACACAACGTCCAGGCCGCACACGGACACCAGCAGAGGCAGCGACTCACCCTTCGTGTGTGCAGCCCATGTGAGGGGTTAGCTGTGTCTTCCCAAAAAAGGCATGTTGGTGTCCCAATCTCCACTACCTCAGAATGTGACCTTCTTTGGAGATGGGGGGGTGTCTTTTTTTTAATATATAAATCTTAAACTTTATTTTGGCAGACTTGTTTTTATAGGCATTGGTTTAAAAGTTACATTAACTTTTCGTAAAAAGTAGATACTTTGTAAAAGCAAAAATAAG